CACACATAGTAAGGTGGAACATGATAATGCACCCATACATCCACATGGGCCCTGTGGATGAGTAGGTGCAAAATCATGGTCTACTTCCTATTTTGTTCCATCCATGTTTGAGTCTGATTCATAATATTTGAGTACCACAATAATAATAGTTTTTTAATTGAATAGGTGTCTGGTATGGTTAACCTCAGGATGTCTATGGTGAAAACAGTGTGTTCATCCTGCCCTTGACCTTAATTCTATTGCCATCAGCTTATCATGAGCTTCTCACCAGGCCCTTCAGTGACAACCCACTATGCTGCTCTACAATACCTCCAACATTCTGCATCATCTACCTCCTCAGGTGTGACTGTTTCTTCACTCATTTTTTCTCAGAGGTTCCTATTTAATTGTTATACAGGTATGTATAAGGTACTTTTAGTAAAATACTTCAGCTTCTTCCTCTCTTTCATGAAAGGTTGAGATGGTGCACCATCTTTAGCAAGCATGCTTGTTCTTTCTGCATGAGGCATTGAGGGGATGTGGCACATTTTAGGATAGACCGACTGTTTAGTTCCCTTCCAGGCTTTGGTGGTGATTTTTGAAAATAGCATCGCATGTAGCCAGAAGCATCAATGAAAGCATGTGTTGTGTGACCATGTTATAATGCAACTCCTCATAAAATGTGAATGTATTAATCACTATTTTATTTCATAAATTCAATAGCATCCTCACCACTGAAGGTAATGCATTGAAAATTTTCTCATTTTCATTATCCTCTGAAATACTGATGATGTGCTGATGAACATTGGTTCTTATTGCAGGTGCATTTGTGTGTGTGTAGGAATATATTGCACTGACCTAACTAATTTCATTTGCTTCTCAGGTTTCCTTCAACTTATGAGGAGTACATCCTCTCAGTACTTTTTTCATTCATTGATTGAGACATCAATGGCCATTTTGTATGTGATTTTCATTGCTTGGTTTTGGGTTTGATGAATTCTTTTGAATTGTCATGTCAAAGTGTCTCAAGTGATGTTTCACATATCCATCTTCTGTGTGGAGTTGTTACCTGTTCCATTAGTCCAACTTATCCCAAGCCATTTTATGCTGCATTGGTTTCATGAATCCTATGAAATGGTTAATATTCATGCCTATTCAGTGATAAATATGTATTTATTATGCATTATTTTATGCACAAACTTCTAAGCTTTCTTGGGGCCCCATGATTCTTGTTTCCGGTTATAGGAGCAGTCTACCCTTGAAAACCTGGGAACTGTAATTAGTCACATATTCTACTTATTCAGTAATTTAATGAGAAACAGGAGGGATGCCAGCATTTAATACTGATATTTTATGCTCATCTTTAGATAATAAAAAATTAAGAAATGAGTGGATGCTCAGGATGCTCAAGGCTAGGCTGTTGAACCATGCCGCTCATGGTAACGCTGTGGCTGGCTACCCCCTGAGTGAACCCAGGATGATCGTGCACTGTAGTAATTAATTAACTGGTTGATTCAACATCACTGTGCGATCAATGCTGTGACACTCTAGGGTGCAGTGGAAACGTCAGAATTCTCTCTTTCAATAAATTCATGATGAAAATTGACCATTTCATTGTGTTGAACATAATTTAGGCATTGTGTTTCTGTTTTATTTCTTTTGTGCATGTGCTAAAATGTAGGCATCTAATTGATTTCCAAGAAATTTGTATTTTCACTCAGTCTCAGAGCCTGAATGGAGAGAAACTAAAAAAACCGAACTGGTATGTTTTTTTTTTATTGTTTAGGTGCAAGTGGTTACCAATTTCAAAAGTGTAACTTAGGTGCTCATGAATAAGCAATAATAGGTACACATGCATGAGAACTGATGCCTATAGCATTCATATTTTGCTTTGTCATGATAGTCACATTGAATCAAGTTTTGGCCTTCTTACAAGATTTCCTTTTCACAAATTTCTGTCAATTTAATTTCTCACACCATGAAAAATCCTTGGCCCTGGCTTGACAAGCAGCATCAAACACATTTGAGCTATTTGTAAGTATTAACACTTGTTTTTACTTCTTTGTAAGGAATGTATTCTTAGTTTTCTGCTTTTGGCTGACCTCCAATGCTTCACAACTTAAACTGCTGAGGAAATGAATTGATGCTGCATTAGCTCCAGGTATAGTAATTATTTGCCTGCAAGTCAAGGAAGTATTCATTTTTCTTGATATATTGTTATCCCTATTGGTTCATCTGCATACCTGTTATGTTCTACAGATTCCATTCCCATTTAGGGAGAGGGGTAGAAGAAATCGATAGAAAGAGGGAGCAGCAGCATTGGGAGCCTACTTCCTCTGGGACTGTAAATCCTTGGTTTGTTCCCCCCTCTGTATGTTGGATAAAAATTTGGAAGTGATTTGGCTTTCGGATGTGGATGTCTCATCATTTCTTTGTGACACTCAGAAATGGATTTTAAGATTGCATTGGTAATTAAATTAGACCAACTTTTATTGATGAACCACCAATAAGAAGTTGAAAAGTGATGGAATATTTTGTAAGAAGCTATATAGAGAGCCATATAACTTTCAGGATTTGTCTTCACAAACTGGTAATGGACTGTTAGGTCTTTTTGGGAATAGAGAAATTAAAAAAAATTACTTCTCACTCAAAGGAATTTGCAGAGGTCAAATCAATGTATTAATAATAATGCTCATGTAAATGTAGTCCTCAATGGATCAGCTGCTGTTAAAAAATTCAGATATGTAGGAGTCATTGCCCAATTTATTTTACAGTTCATTTTTAGGAAAATAGATCACGAAATATCACAAATGAGAAAAAGTAAGTAATTGCAACAATGATGAAAATCTAAGAGTCTCACTGGACAAACAAAGTAAGTGTGAAAAATAGTTTTTCAAAGCCTCAAGATTGTGTGCCAAGTGCAAATTAAATGATGATGCTTTTCTTAAAACTTTCATCAGCACTTGCTTGGGTTTTTTTTTTTGCACTATATATTTCGGGGTAAGAGAAATGTTCCTTCGATATGATTGTTCTAACTCAAAGTTATCACAAAGAAGACAAAATGGAGATCCCAAGTGGGGTTAAGAGCTACTTGAGAGGTAATGAACCTAGATACTATTTTGAAGCCAATGTTGCTTCAAACTTATTAAATCCTTGCTGGCCAGAATTCACTTATGTTCTACTCATACTTGGAGATATTTAAAATTCAGAAAGAGGAATGTGACTAGAGGGCATATCCATTCCAAGTCACCATCACAACCCAACATATTCCTTAGCAGCTGTGATATTGACAATGTTGAAATACAGATGAGACCAGGATCAGACTGGCCCACCAGAATACTGGGAAATTTCCCATGGTATCCCCAGACCTGATAAAAATTATAAAGTGGAATTATAGTGAACATTATTTACAATTAATGACTATATTCTGATATTGAATCTATGAGCATTGCCAAATAGTATAAAGCTATAAAAGTGACTAATAAATATGGTGTAGTTATAAAATTCACCTTGTTCTAGGGGCCCTCATTTATTCTAGAATATTTCCTAGGGGGGCCCTAGGCTGCCAGTCTGACCCTGTCCTGATCTCAAAGTGCCGCTGGTACTTTTGTTTCACGCTTACAGGCAATTTGTTTAGCTATTTACTTGTTAAGCAATTTCACAATGAACATTTTCTGCTCTAGTTCAAATGATGCCTTATTGCTTCAGTGTTCACATCCAGATATTAAAAGTGTTTCCACATGTCTTCATATTACGTGCAAATTTGGATTCTGCAATGTTATTGCAGTAAAAGTTGTGTGCATTATTGTATTGTGATCTGTATCCATGATCATCCTGTATATTTTTTGTGTGTTTTGCTTAAATTAATTCCATTAGTATGGCCTTGCACTCTGAAAAAGTTTAGTCTGAGAATTTTACCTGTATTGGGTGGGCTATAAGTCCAGGTACCCTAAGGTTCATATGTCCAGGGTATCAGTATGAGCACCATCTGTTGTTCTTGTACCCAAACACTTGCAACAAGACATTTTCCAATACTGTAAGAAAATATGCCGACATACAAATTACCAAAGGGTGTCTGGATTTATGGTCCACTCTGCACATCAGGGATTCGGTTCTTCATGTTTCAAGGCTCAAGTATGGACATCAAGAGGCATTATTGCTTGTTTGTTTAAGTCAATCATAGGGAATAAAATATGCCTACCCCTCTTCAACACTTACAGAGGAACATATCCACCTTCTTTCAAGTTACAACTAAGATACTTACATTTGTTTTGTTTTTTTAAAGGCTTCTAACCCCTTCTTGAAGATGAGCACAGAACTGGGCAATCACTACATCACAACCTGTAATGCATTCCATGTATTTACTATTCCACTAGTAAAAAAGTCTTTTTGCAATCAGTCTCACTTGGGGTTTATGAAATTTGAACCGACTCCCTCTCATTATGCTGCTACCATTGAGTTATCATGCTTCACATTATTGATTCCCTTATTGGCAAATGCTAGAATGAAGCTCTGCTATACCACTACAGTGTAAAGGTTCATCACAAAGTAACTCCTTGTAAGGCAGACTGCAATGTCAATGTGTCTTCTGAAGCTGAGACTGTCATACATCCTCATTCCCCTGTGTCTTACTCATACATTTTTACTGATGACAATGAACAAGTAATGCCGTAGACCTTTTAACCTTGTTCCTTTATGGCAAATGAGAATCATGAGGGGTTCATTCATCTGGAAGTCTCTGTATGGATTGCAGAGGCTGACAGGGCTAATAAGGGGTGCCTAATGCAGCAGACAGTTCAGAATTTGTCCTAAGTTGGATATAAGAAAAATATGCTGAGAAAGGTTGAATTATCTAAAACTTTTCACAGGCTAGATATTTTGGAAGGAATATTCTGACAATAAAAATAAAAAAGCTTCCTTAAAATAACAGGAAGATTTAAAAAGTTGACAAAAATGTTGAGAACTACTTTTGGAATTTAGTGAGTACATCGATACATTGTCACTTGCCCTCCTCAAAATTACCCCCCTTGAACACCCCCTCCTCCTTTAATCAGATCTGGAATGATGTCTATTAAAGTCTGTTTAACATGAAAGTTTCCTTAGACTATGCAGAACTCTTTTATGATGCCTTGATCTGCAGGAGTGGCACTATGAGAGGGAGGGTACAGGACATTTTATCCACCACAACACCTCACCTCCCACTCCCCTCCCTACGTGACATACGATGAACTAGAAACAGAGCAAAATGTAAAGCCAATACTTATGACAGAACCCAAGTAACCATAGTTTCTTTCAGACCATTTAGTCTCACAGTCTTATCTCTTTTTCATCTTGCTGTTTGTCATGGTGTCATGACACCTTGAGGGTTCATCTACCAATTAGAGTTGAATCCAATTCAGCTTATCCCTGTCCTCCCTTTGTGTTCAACTTAATTTTTCCTTAAATGACAAATGCAGTTGGGTTTTTGCTGGAATTCTGGCTGACAAGGCTGACCACATCCACTCATGAATAGAAGGCATCCTTGAGTACTGCATTACAAGGAATCTTACACTCCAGATCCTTTCTAGTTGTCCCATATTTCCCATAACAACTTGTGAAACCAGAGATGTATTGCCTGTTATATAGCCTTGTGTAACCTGGTCCTTTAGTATGGAATAGGACCAGAGATCAAAGTGATTAATTTGTTAATACAAAAATTTATCTCTGGATTGATTTTGCACTGTCCATGCCAAATGAGGTTTTTGATGTATGACCAGCATACTTTCCTGGCACTCCAATGAGATAACACCTGAAGTGCAAGAGAATGCAGGACTTGGGGTCAATGAGTCAAGATGTGGCAAAATTCAGCAAGGGACACAATATTGCACTCTGCAACTCCACTGCAGTTTGCAGCCTTTGAGAAGACACCAAATAGCTTTGAATTCCATGAAACTTGAAAATCTCATTAGAATCTTGTCATACAACAAAATGAAGGGCAAGGCAATGAAATACAAGAACATATGTTAACTTTATGGTTGATCACACTTTGGAATGGGCATAAAGCAATGCAATGCCTTACTGAAAAGAACTACCATCCTAGATATGTGAAGGGTACAGCTGACATTCACCCAAGCTGTATGAACTCTGCACAAAAGTGCTGAAGAAAATGGAAGCCATTATGGCTAGTGATGGTAGAAGATAGCGAGTCGGGGATCTTCATGAGTGCAGGTGAGCAAGACTGGTCTAAATTTCTCAATCAGTTCAAGGAGTTGAGATCGACGCATGTTCTCCATGAACATCATCTCCTCTATGTGGTGCTTTCCATGGAAGTATGGCAACATCCTGTCAAGGAAACAAAATTGTCTAATACCTGGCAAAAGTAAGAATCAATATTAGCAACTAATGTTCTAAACTGAAACCATCTATATTCTGAACTTTCAATCTTGCACCAGAATCAAATGGACTTGATGTGGTGATAATAAATTGCAAAAGCCTTTACATATAATTTGCTCATAACACAAATGAGTAAAAAGTCCATGCAGGTTACTCGATGTTACAGTATTCAGTATTAGTATAATATGGCTTCATGCACTGGTCTGGTATTTTACAGGAAATTTTTTTGCTCTTTCAGGGTTTTAATACTATTTGTTACACTTCAGTATTTGTGCAAATTTATAAGTATGGCAATTTTCGAACTTTTAGTCTCTTCTTTTACATCACCATTTGTCTCTGCCCCTGTTGTATTTCACAATGGAAATTCTGTGTGCCCCTTTTCACATTGCAAGCAACCCTTGAAAAAGGAAATTCTTATCCATTCATCAAATATGGAGGATCAGTGTGGGTTAGGTTAGGTTACATTTGGTTTTTATATGCTTAACTTCCTCATCCTGTTCTGTTCTGGAGACAGACTTAGCATTGGTTCAGCGTCAAAGGCCAAAGAGTGAGAAAGTCAACCAATATTGGGGGATGATGGGTCAGTTGGGTTAGGAAAGGGTCATGGCCTTTGCCCATGATTATTTTCTAACCCAATTGACCCATCATTCTCCAAAATTGGTTGACTTTCTCACTCTTTTGGCCTAATATTAGAAGTAATGTGGCTCACTCAGTATGTGTTCATCATTAGTTCTCTGAGGTTATAATGCACTTGGGTTTAGTGAAAACCCTAAAAAGCTGATGGAATGTTAGTTTGAATATTGAGCCAAAAACTGATTGTTTTTCAGTGAGAGGATACGAAGACAGCAGCTGCTACGATGATGTGTGAGAGAGGAGTATATTATTGAAGAAAACATGCAGTAAATGTTCGATAATTCCAAATTTAGGAATTTGCACTAGAAATGAACTACATATTTTAGCTCAAAGAACATCTAAGTTGCATTCAGCATACCAAATTTGGGTGCACAGCTATATTATAGAATTACCTAGGTTGTGCTATTTAGTTGAGTCAGACTTTTTCACTTGACTTGGAACACTGACACATGGGAAGAGCATTGCATGGGAGTCCAAGTCAAGTGAAAAACACTAGCATCATATCCATTTTCTGCCGGACTCCTGGAATTATGTGAGCTTATGCATAGAGATGAGGAATTTTCACTAATTAAGTTTTATTTTCTAAAATAAAAAAGCCAAGAAACATAGTTTCTAGGCAATTCAAAATGCATTTGCTGATCACTAGCCAAAAATAGATTTGAGAGCTTACCATTCCAAGAGCATGTCCAGAGTATATCAGGGATGGATTTCATGTTTATGGTTATCAGTTTATCATCACTCAGTACATTACTCTTTTGAGAAGCCTTAGTAGTCTGTTGCTTATTCGTATGGAAATTCCAATTTATGTTAGTTTCATGTCTGCACTTCTTTCAGTAATGAGATAGTAATTTATAATATTTGAATTTTTGTAGAATTTATTTTTAAGTCTGGTGTTGGAGCTAGTTATTACCAGATACAACCAGATAGCAGATCCTGTTGCCTGTTTTCCATTTTTTCTTACTTGAAGAGTATTTGGTAAGCCAAAGATGCTCAAAGATGGTCTTTCTGAATCAGCCAGAAACTCATTTTATTCCATTTCTGAAATTAATATACTTTAATAAAGTTCAAATACCTCTTATCATTACAGATTTTGGGTTTCAATTTTCCTTGCAAGTTTTCAAATTTCATTAACCAGCCCTCAGCACATGGCAGAGAAGGAAGAGCAAACCTGGCAAAGAGTTTGAGATCCTCAGCGTCACAGGCAGCAGGGCAGGCAAGGATGACCTCAATCTCTAGCTGAGAAAGATTAGGGAACAGGGCCTCATATTGAAGCTCAGAGTCTCCTTTACTTCCCCGTTCCTCATCTTCCTCTGCCAGGGTCCTCTGTGATTGATCCTCCTGTACCATCTGCGTCTGTGTCTCCACAGTCACATCAGAGTCCCCATCTGATTTCTCACTCGACCCCTCGCTCAAGCCTTTTGACATATTCATGGAAAATATTGCCATTTGGCAAAATGAGAAGGCTGCTAATGCACATTAGTAGCCTTCCCATTTTACTAATATAAGTAGGCCTACTAGCATGAATTTCTATCCAATATCAGAATCATGTACAGAAGAGACCATACAAAATGTGTCTACAAATAAAATGTCACATGGAAACAAGGATGCTAAATAAAGGAATTTCACTCATATACAGATCTCAGTGAGCAAGCCAGAAACAAATCAGTCAAGCAGAGACACTGTGATTAGCTCCTAGCTCCCATTTTTTCTGAACAGAAAGGGAGAGCTTCCTTTAATATATTCTAAGCTTCTTTTCTCTGTTGGGTTCTTGGATTTCTTACACCAGCAGTTCCCAGACTTCTTTGAATTGCTTGCTGACGAACAAAAAAGTTCGCAACCCACCAGAATCCAGATCGAGGTATTTTCAAAGTAATTATGGTTTGAAGAAAACTGATCAATTTTTCCTGCAGGGCAAGTTTATCTTGAGTGGATGCAGATATAATGATTTTTTTATGCTGGGAAAATGTACACGACCCACCAGTGGTTTGTGACCCAGTTTGGGAACTGTTGCCTTACATGATTCTCATTCTCAAATATGCCATCTTTCATTTCTTCTTTGCCTTAATCTTGATGGAACTTCTTTTGAGCATTGGATAGCATATTCAACATGGGAAGGAAAAGGGAAAAAATGGAATTCTTGGGTTGCAGAATGAATCAAAGAAAGAAAGGAGGGAAACAATACTGTATGGATGTCCTGTTTGCAGGAGGATGGCCTCAGATTTAGAAATTCAAAAGGAGAGGGACAGGCCCTTTCTTCTTATATCAATGCAGCAGAAGGGAGACACCCCTAATCTATGCTGATAGAACAAGGAAGTGTAGGGTACATGGATAGTAGCAGACCAAAAATTTAAAATGAAAGATTCAGTAAGTCTACATTATACATCGATCCTGATGAATCCCAGAAATAGGAAGTCTATGAAAATAATCATAAAAGAAAAGGAACAATGAGAGAACTGGTAGAACAGATGTCTATAGGCACTGCAATAATTCAGACAAAATGACAGCAGCCAATTCTCCTTTCTGGGATGTTAGGGGAGCAAGAAGGCAACAGGTCACAGTGACTTCATGACTACTAGTGACTTTATTGTGCAATATTAGTTGCCTATATTTCTGACTTTCATAGGTTTGGATCATGAGCATAGTAAGATTCACTTTCTTAACTTATATGAACTTGATCTTTTTTTTTTTGCCTTAATTTGCTGTGAGAAGGGAGGATCCCTTCAGCTTTACATAGAACATTGACCTGCTTAATGAACTACTTTTTATTGACAGCAAATAACCTGAACTTAAGCATGAATCAGAGCTTGAAATACCATTATGCATCAGATCATGAAATCCAAATTATACAATACTTGTAACCAAGGGAATATTAGCTATATGACTAGAGAACTGTAAGAAGCAATACCAAGGTAGAAGTCAGGAGTGGACTGTCGACTGGACCGGCGGATGTGACTTGGTATGGGTTTCCGTACTGGTGGGGAAAAGAAGACATACGTGTGGAGCTGCATGAGTAGTCGATGCCGCAGTAACCATACAATCACCTGCACTTGCTGATTCTGTATGCCCATATGAAAGAGAGCATGAATAAGTTAGCGGTCAGCTGAAGCAGAGGATACAGATACTGGTTCAAAGCAATTATAGGCATGGCTAGAGTAGTGGCATTAAGTGTAAGTGGGTTACCTTCCTCAATCTAGAAAGATCTATACTGTGATTCATGAAATTGGGAGCCCTTACATATTTTAATGGAACTCTTATATTTATTGGTCCATTTACATGAAATTATGAACGATTGTAGTTCATAAACAAATAATCATAATGATAGTCACAGCTCTTTTAGTAATCTCTTCACTCCATAATGTCTTAAACATATGATAGCATGCTCGTCTTCTTCACTGAACATAATTTTTTGGGGTATGCTGCAACAGATTTATAATGACATCATTATCATCGACTAAAAGTGAACTTTAATTTTCTAACTATTTTAGGAAATACATAGCTTCTTTATTGGGCTTGTTATATTTAAAATTTCATGTAAATGGACTAATAAATATAAGAGTTATAATAAAATACTTAGGGAGTCTTGACTTTATGAATCACAGTGTCATTTGACTAAAGGAAAAAATGTCACATCTTACAAAATTTTATTATACAGGGTGGAGCACAAAATGTTGACAGGTTTTATTTGTAAATAAAAGCACACATAAAGTTAATTTAAAAAATTATTGACAACAGAAACATTTTTGTGAATTATTTGCCCATAACATTGTGTTCAATGTGACCACCATTTGATGGTGAATTTCCTCCAACTGCTGAATGAAGTTGTTCACCACTTGGTGACAAGAGTTCTTTGTTTTGATATGGGTTCTATACAGTTTTGAAATTTTTTGCCAAAGTCCCATGAGGTTTTCAATTCTTGACCACTCCCCTCTTGTTTCAATTGATTATAGAGGGGCAAGATGTTTTTCCTTGGAGCCCACTTTGTTACAAAAAAAACTTTAAAGCATATTTGAGAGACAGTCATTTTTATTTTCCACAAACAAAAGCACAATTTTGCTTTTTTGTTGCAGTCAGAGGCCCCTTGTCCACCATGTTCAAAACAGTCAAATGATTTTCCACAGCTTACTGAAACTCCCTGAAAGAGTTAACCAACTGTCTATACTGTGAATTCATCTGTAATAAAATAAAAACTGTCAGCATCTCATGCTCCACCCTGTATTAGGGAGTGCAAGAGAATTGTATTGCTTTGGATTTTTGCATATATCTCTTGTATTATGTCGAGTTTCATTACTTTCTCTCAGGGCAGAAACTATGTAGTTTCTAGTGGTGTAAATTTAAGGTTGATGAAGTGTAAATGAAAATAAAGGTCAGACGTTATTACCATTGATCACCAATTTCAGAGAAAATGTCAATTTTATTTTTTCCAAAAAATTAACATAACATTCCCAACTTTTTTGCTTGAATACAATAAATTTTGGACTGCCATAGGATCAAAAGATATGAAAAATGATGAGGCAGTAAGTGATTTAAAAAAACCTGCAGAGAATGAGCTAGAGAAGTCTGGATGCCTCTGAATAATGCAGAAACTTGTGGATAAACCTTTCTTGCAAATTAAAACTATCATAATCAATATTCTATAAATATTTTCTAAACATAAAATGTATACCTGTTACCATTTTGATGCAATACTATTGACATCCTTGAAGATACAGTAAAACCACACTACAACAAAGAGGTAGGGGACCATGCAATTTATTTTGTTACAGGGGATTTCATTGCAAGTGAATAATTTTTAACATTAGAGGCGTTCAGCAGTGGATAGAAAAAAACCTGTCTCTTTCTAAGGAGAATATTTTGCACTCATTACACCACAAATAAAATATTCCACATGGCTGTACCTGTTGTTGGAAGAGCCAGATGGGTGTGTGCTTATGACTAAGCGATGTTGGCAGGGAAAACTCAGACAACACTGACAGTAGGGAGAGTCCAGGAAACACTTCTCGAAATTCCTCCCCCAAGCTTGCTCTACAAGAATCATTCAGTATCATTAATCATAATAATCATTAAGTATGTTGCCTGCCTTGCTAGAAGCCTTTGAACAGTTTACCAAAACACCTTGTTTGCAGCAAGACAGTCAGATTCCATTTCTTCCATACCTCTTCTTTAGCTCCAGCTGCAACTTGAGAAGCAGTTCTATGTGCATTTCTCTACTGAGAGGATGGTCACAATAATCTTAACTCATTGCACTAACAGAGGGTGCATGTTAATGAGTGTCTTCTGTCCTAGCTGAGTATATTACAACAGCCTGATATGGTTTACCTTTCAGGAGAGAGTTATTATGTATCATTTATCTCCTGGCATCAATCATGAACATATATATAAGCAACTCAGCTCTGAGAGGTCAAGCTGGTGTAATTAGCTGCTGAGGAAAGGTGAGAGAGTGCTCACAAGTCAGCTGGGGCACCAGGGGTGATGACATAGACATTGGTCTCACATAGAGGATAGATCACCATCACCTTGGCCCAGTACACCAGATGAGATGTCAACTGCAAAAAACAGAAAACCAACCAAAAACTAGGTCTTAAATTCAAGCCAAGGCATTGAGGTGTATATCCAAAAGCAATGACCTGATAGGCTACAGGGTGCAATAGGCTCAAGGTCTTTCCATGCTCTTTGCTCTAATATTCCAGTTTTTGAAATGTAAACAGCAAAAGCAAAACATAGTCTCAATAGGAAGCATGAACCTGGAAGATGTGAAGGAGCGTGAGGTTGGTGTCAGCAGCAAGCTGATGGAAATTCTTCAAGGGGCTTGCCATCTTAACAAGACGTTTGAGGGAGCTGGAAGAATCAGGTGGGAGGGAGGCTAAGAGCTCTGATTCCTCCCCTAACAGCAGGATCCCATGATATGGCTGAATTGATTCCAGGCACTTGTAGATTGTCCCTGGCTGAAAAGGCCCTCAATCATTGACCCTCTCAGCATATATTTTGGTGAATTGACAGTGAGAGCAAGCTTTCACATGAATAATGGAAGGATAGGAGCATAGAATAGAGGAATTTCTACTCATCAATGCTAATTTTTCATGCCATATCAGAAGCAACTGTGTGATTTATACAATGTGAGCTATTTAAGACCTCTGTTGGAGGCTGCTGGCAACCTTCAATCCTTAGTCCAAGATCCTGCAAGACAGCTTCTTGTGTAGGATTACAGATCTTCATCCCTGTATGCAGTTGGTGTGAAGATTGAAATAGGCATACACATCTCAGACTGCATAATTACTGACAGGATCATGGTTCTCACCTTTTACAAAATGTACCTCCTTCACAAAAAATTTGAAAAAGTACTGCATATAATGTCAATGGAGTTGCAAGTAGGCTCACTGCCTTTACACTTAAAGCAAATTAAATCCTGCATATGATTGAATGACTGCTACTTTAGTAGTCATTTCAAGGAGTACAATGGGTGAAAATTTGGCTGACCTCTATGTGAAGGAGCTGATTGCGAAGATAGTGGACCTTCTGGGGGAGGCAGAAGTTGATCCCTATCCAGTTATTTAAGCGACGTTTCACCACCCCACTGGTACATAGGCTGTAGTACAAATCAGAGCTTATTTGGTAGCCTTTCAGTAGCTTATATGCACTGCTTGATATGAAAAAGAAATTGTAAAGGTGTTCAGTTATTGAGGTTTTCCTCTGCCTTCTGTGGAAAATTACGAATAATGATAGCAATGCTTCATGCTTTGATGCTCCCTATTCTCTCCTAAAATACCATATAGGAATCCCAGGCATGCATGCCATTTCTTATCCAAGATATCTTGGCCTCATTCTGGGGTACCCCTGAAAATAAAAAATTCTACATGTGTACAGAATTTTCTTAGATTATATGATTGCTGCTTTCTTTAAATAAACATTGACCAAAGGTCACTATTGTTCAGTGCTCTGTGTTACTGGCAGATGGGCTAAAAGCTGTCATCATTAAATAAGTGGGAACTTTTGCTTTTTAGTTGAGGGAGTCCTGCATAGACACAGATATATTTAGCAACTTCTAACTACTAAACTCCCAAGAGACCAGTACTGGGAAACAAATTTGTATTGTGAAAATTAGGCTTTAAAAAACGGGCTTGATGGACAACATCCCTGAGCAGTAATGAAGAGGAAAAGACCCTCACTCATGATAAATGTCTCGTAATTCCTTGGCCAACCGAGATCTCTCCAGGATGAGGTCATAAGGGGATTCAGCACTGTCTTCTGGCTGGGCTGCCACCTGTCATCAAACCATTAAATGTCATTTGGAATAAATGGAATATTCAGAAGTGACAGGAAAACAGGTACTCATGGCTCCCTTTTCAAAGAGTTTCAATACACTTATTTAGACACTTGAAAAAAGAAGAATGCTAAGTAAAAGATTGAAGTACCTCATCATGAGCTTCCAGCATTAATCTTGCCTCATTATGCAGATATTGACAACGATGCTCTTCATGCCTAAGGGCCACTCCAAGCCTCTGGCTCAGTTCATAGTAACACTCTACCACCCAGTGACTAGCAGAGGCCTGAAAGCACATAAAATTGTTAACATATAACCCTGCTGACCAGGGTAGAGGCAATATGCTGAAAAATTTACTCGAAGGACGATGACAATGTTAATCAGAATGATGGATGTGGAGGTGGAGTGTCGTATGCGGGGGAGGACAGAGTCAGAGGAGCCTGATTGAAGGAGGGTTGGGTGTCCAATGAATCTCACATCATTCACCTTCACTTCCAAGCGCTTCTCGCACAGGCCCATCTTCACCGCAAAGAGATTTGACAGAACCTGCATGTCCATGAAGGCACATAAATAACCAAAAGAATTGAAGCGGGAGAATAACATAATCCAAGGTAAAAATGAATGAGGATGCAAAATACTAAACTAGAGAGCAGAGTTGGAGAAACATACTGACTTTGAGAAAGGAAAATGAGCATTAATCTTGAATGAGAACAAATTGAATAAGCAATAAAGAATACTGCTTTCACTACAATAATTTATTTTCAAAATCAAGCATAGAATTTTATGAATGGTACGAATTCAATGTACGTATACCAAGAAAATGGAGGCATTCATCATCAGCACATAATAACAAGCAGGTTTTTCTCCTAATAATAATGCAATTGTGATCAAGGGAATGAGATAGTACAAAATGGTGTGATGTTATAAGGGTTCTAATACAAAAAGGTGTGATGTTATAAGGGTTCTAATACAAAAAGGTGTGATGCCATAAGGGTTCTAATACAAAATGGTGTGATGTCATAAGGGTTCTAAAGGCACTTATTCTTCATTAATTTTATTTGAATGGTTCACAAATTAATCAGAGCTGAATCAGGACTCCTTGTAGTATCAGATGATTTGAAGACATAAATTGCCTAGGTTCAGCACACACCAAGAATGTTTAAAATATCTCTACATTATGAATACTATTCCTACAACTCAACCGTATCTAGTCATATCATCTGTTCACCAAAGGAAGTGATATGAGTGATGAATAAACCTTGAGATCTGCAAATACCCCTCATTCTCTGAGCAGGAGCTGCTGAGCCCTGATGAGAGGGCTCTAAATACCATGCTTGCAACTTTTGCAGCTCGTCTTCAAAGATTTCTCTGTTTTCTATATTCCCAGTCTGCACAACTGAACTCACCATTATCATGGAAATAATACCTATTTCTTATCCAGCATTCAAGAATAGATTTAATAGTTTTCAATATTCATAAGACAATTTAAAAAGTGTCAGCCGCTAATCTTTCAGGGATCCCTATATTCTTCTTTTAAAAAATTCCTTATAGAAAATGATATGCTTTAAGCTCTTTGTAGTCAAGGAGAGGCTAACAAACAATTATAATGTCACCTGCATTCATAGGACGTTTCAATTTGTTTTAAATAAATTTCAGTCCTCTCCTTTCAGGGTCTGAGATCTCCCTAGGACCATGTTTATTCATAGTTATTATATTCATTCACCATAATGTAATAATCATAATGCATAATGAAAAGCAATTAACATAATCACTACCAAAGACATCTGTAGATGTCTTCAAGCCTCCTTCAACAAGTCAAGTATATAGTGCTCAAATGCAGTTTCACTGCATTTGAGCATTACTCAAATTGATCTCAATTTCATTACTCAAATCAATCCATATTGAAGCATTACTAAAGGTATGCTGAAAAATTCATTCAATTTGCTTCAGTACTTTAAGAGATATTGTATTTTTTGCACAGTAACCTGAAATAAGACTCCAAGAAGAAAAATGGCAGGCACAGGGAGAAAGTTACCACCCAAAACCAACTGGCAGTGAATGTGTTAATGAATATAGAATACTGAAGGTCACTCATCTCAGTGATAGCAGATAAGCTTGCAGAATGGAAATACAGTCGATGCTTGATATAACAAACTTGAAGGGGCAGGCCTATAACATTTTGTTATAAGGAAAATTTGTTAAAAGGGAACTCTTCACATTTTGTTGAAGAAAAATTAGCCTCTTAACACATCATTTATTCCCAAAATGGATGCAGTTGTCCTATCAAGAAAAAAGGTGAAGGTCTGAGCACATGTCTCATTGCAAAAAATGCAGCTTCAAATATGTGGGTATGTACCTAAATGGAGATGCTCAGTAGTGTGTCCTTATGTAGGTGTAATAAAAATAGGATAAGTCACCTTCAACCTTTGACTAAAAAATAGCCCATAATAGTCAAAGGCTTTGATTGCTTGACCAATCAGAATTCTGGACTAATCCATCTTTAAGATCTGAAGAAGATAAAGATTGACTGACAGAGCTCCTTTACTCCCAAAAGCCACACCAATGAGTGGAACATGCTAAATTTAGATGCAAGATGAGATTTTCCAGGAATATGCAAAAGGAAATAGCTCTGACATGTGCTGAAGATTTAAACTTCATAATACAGAAAAGCTTTGCTCCTTTGGATGAAAAAATGACTGAGCCAAACAATTTGTTATATAGAACTTCATAATAGAGAAACTTTTCAATATTTATTTGAATGGGCAAATGACTGTGAATTAAAAAATTCATTTATAGAGGTTCATTATATCAAGTGTCAACTGTGATGTAAATAAAATTTAAAAAAAGAATGCAGAAACCGTGTCATCAAATCCAGAGAGCTGTCCATTCTTAATATTGGAGAGGGGAGGCTTGGCCTTGTACAGAATGTTCTCTGAAGGCTCCACACTGTATGGACTCTGCCTTGCTCCTGTTTCAGGAAAGACCATGAATCATATCCCATCAGGTCAATGTCAATTCATCCAGAAATAGTTATAATTAGACTCACTCTTTTTTGCCTCATCATCCCTGTTCTCCATTGTGTATGGATATCGGAATAGAAGCCGGTCACCTTTGCTCCCATCCTTGACCAAGAAGATGCTCAATGGATTGATTCCCTCCATATGTTCATCTTTACAAGCTGTGCAAAGAAAGATAAATTTGTCACCTGCCCTAACAAAGAGATTTCAAATATAAGTGAAAGAATTGTTCATTATTCACTATCTTACATTTCATTTAATGCTCTGAAAATTTCAAAAAAAAAGTTTCTTCCATTTTATCAACATACAGGTATTTTCAAAATAAATGAAATAGTCACCATACATTTCTGACCATACCATTGTTACCCATAGCTGATATTGATAATAAAACAAATGCTGCACAAGCCCTTGCATCTTGACATTACCTTTTTTACTGTCAATTCCACATGCACTTAATGTAAAAAACTGGTCCCTTGAGCTCATTCATAAGGCAAGAAATGAATTTATCATGACACCACCCTTTACATCATTACATTAACCTGGACCAATGAGAGCATTCCCCATTAAGCAGCCAAGCTTAAAGTTATTTTGATGAAAAAAAAAATGCAGCTAAGAAAAGACTGACAGCACAATATGAGAAATGTATTCAAAAGAAGTGATCAACATGGCAAAGCACCTTCATCTTTTTAGAAGTGTTGTTATGCTATGTTACTTCTACACCTTTGTGAAGTTTCAGTTTTTCATCTAATCTGTTAGACTTTTAGGCAGAATTAGTTGAATCAACATATAAATATCACTGAATACCAAATTTTTCATGAGGAAAATACAGAGGAAGCATGCAGACTTGGCAGCTCCTCTCATTAATCTCACTTGGGTGGAATAGTGAATTCAAGCACATGAGAAATTGTGCAAACAGGACTATATTACATCTGAGGACATTTACTTGGGATTTATGATCATTCTCCTGTCTGGTTTAAGTTTCAGGATTCAGGTCCTGGAAATGATTAAGTTTGATGAAGTATGCATGAAACAAATATCCTTGTACCCTAACTGAGGAAAATTCATCTAATAGGAAATATGACAAGCTTTGCAACTCACTCCAGCCAAGTGAACACACCTCTATTCCTTCATGATGGGCACAAGTTAATGGCCCTCATGCTCAGCACAAAGCAGTTAAAACCCCTAAAGAATGTGTAACAACATATGCCACTCAGAACCATTGCTGGTTTTCAGAAAGGTCACACTTGGAGGATTAACATGGTCTTTTTCCCTGCTATGACATCTTTGTCCCTAATAATGGCAATTAAATCTGTTCAGATCTTGCAGACCTGGCTTGACAACATGAACAACTCCAGATGTTACAGGCTAGAGATGAAGTCATGCTCCTTTGGACTGAGAATAACCTTAAGCCTCTTGAAGAACCCACAGTGTCTTTCATCTCCATCTTTTGGATGGTATGATGTCAAGAAATATCTAAAACATTACTTTAAATTATTTCTCAAAATATATACTTACACAGGATATGTCACCATTTCCCAAGCGTGAGGTCAGCAGAATTGAGTGATCTGTTTCATCTTGGTCAAGCTCTCCTTGCCTCTTTCTAAAGTGTAGGAAAGCCCAAAAACTTGGAGATACAGAAGGTAATCTGCAAGCCACCTAGGCAAATATTCATTTCATCATTAGGATTCTCAAACAAATATTATTGGTGTATATGCTATTAGGCCATGATAAATTTATTCCATCTTTGAGGATCCAAAAAAATACACTTCTTCCCTTACTCCTGCAACTGAAAGTTAGTTATAACCAAAACAAGAAAAGCCCCAATTTAAGCAGTCAACTATTAATAAAATACTCATTTTTTAAAACAAGTAATCATTTACCTCATTACACATTGACAAAGGCCATTTTGATCAGTACTTTTGAGTGCTTTCACTTCCTTATTTTCTGAGTCATTTACAGCAGTTTCCCCCCTATGGGCTAAAACCCACTCTTGGGTTGATGTGGGGTCTGGGTTTGGGTAGACAGCCAGAAAAAAAGAAACACACATTTAGTTTTTGTTATATGCAATGTTTTCCCACTTGTTTTTGTGTTTTGTTATAAAAATAACCTTCCTTATGGGTCACTGAGTCATTATGAAGCAAGAAATAGTTTGCTGTCATAAATATTGGGAAACACTCATTTACAGGTTCATATTAACCATTTTAGATCTATAGATCAAGAGAGACCTTGGAGAGAGTTCCATGTTTATATAGAGATGGGAGTGGTCATAGACCTATAAGATGTATAATTCAGCATTTATATAAAAAGGTCCATTGAAATGATGAAACTAGACAAGGATCTTGGAATATTTTTACCTCATTATTTCAATGTACCTTTTTATATAAGTGCTGAATTATACTTCATGTTTATATCTTGTTTGAAACAGGAAAAACAAGTTGTCAAAGTAAAAAAAAAAAAAAAAAAGTGCCAAAATTGGGCATTTATCATTTATTTAGCCACAGCTTGAAACAAAGTAACTAATTAAATTTGAGCTACTTCTTTTACTGTTATTGGCTAGAATTGCAATTTTGCAAAAGCTTGTAGTGTTATATTCCCTTCTGTTTGAAATTTTGATTAAAAATTTGTGGTTTTTTTTAGGAATAGCTTTATATTAATAAAGGCATAACTTCTTTGCAAGAAAAACATAGAAAATGCCTAAATCTTATTTATTTTGGTCTTGGCTTTAACTTGAGCCCCAAAACAATTTTCTTGCTCAATTTAGGCAGAATATCTCAAGAACTGTTAGTGCTGGAATGCTGAAATTTGGGGTTTTTTCAGAACTCAGAGGTTGCCATGCATTTTTACAGTGAGATCTCTGATATGTACAACCACCACTGGATCTAATGCAATGGAATGACTTCATAATCTGGAGCAGGAGTGCACAACATGAGGCCCTTGTCAACATGACTGGTTGCGTTGTATGTGCTACTATGGCTCCTGACCTGTTGGCGACAGCTATGGTCAGCCAGCTGCAGCCAGAGTAAAAATCCATTAATGAATGAGTAAATGGCCTTCACAGCCATTTGAGTTGTGGACCCTGATCTAGAGCTATGGAATCCCACCCTTTCCTCTAGGTCAACCTATGCCAACCATTTCTTGTCGACACTTACTAGCCTCTTCCATGAGCTCCAGCTCCTTACTGTGAAGTGTTAGCACATTCCAAGTCCATTTCCTGGATCATTTACCACTTTGTCCTGCTCCTGGTCTGTCCTTGGAGCATCGTGCAGAAAATACACTATGGCCAGTGACAAGCCAACAGATAGGTCTGGATGTAGTACGACAGGGTTCAATGCACCCAGAAGCATCGGATTGTCCAGCCAGGTAGCAAATTTATCAATGATCACTCCAGAAGCTCAAGGACTATTGCATTCCCAATTATCCTTGGTAATGACTTATTCAGAATGAAACTCTTGAGTCAAAGGTGTCATGAAAGTATTGGTATGTCTTGATCATCCTCAACAGAAGCCTCTGTATCATCCCCAAGAACACAAGTATGTTTCTAAGATGTCTTAATTTTGTCTTCACAAAGAGATGAGGCATCTTCAAAACATCTTCCCAAGATGTTTTAAATACCCAGAAATGTCTCCTTCTGATGAGATCTACATTTGTAAAACTAGAAGCTCATAAAAGACGTTTAGAAGATGCATTCTTTCTAGTATGGGAGATGCTTCCCCATCCATTGAAATTATTATTATTGTATTGATAAATGGATTAGTTTTCTCAGTTAAAATGATCAATGAACTCTAGCCTCAGCAATACAAATTATCTGAACCTCCACTTTAAATCACAGAAAGTTTACCTGAACACATTTATTGTAATAGAAGTGACTCCTGTGAAAATATATCGTTACCATCCCATCATACCTTGGAAGAATAATATCCAACCCACCAACTTTTATTACTCTTCACAATGTCTACAAATTGAACCATCCTGCAGCTTGAGTCCATGGAGTGAGGTCACCATTTGAACCATGCACCCTCCATTCCCCCAGTCAGAATTACCCAGACTCTCCTTGAGCTGAACTGAAATTTTATAGATTGAATCCAGTATTTGAATGCAGATGCATATGTTGTTCAAGAAAAAAATACAAGATACCACAGGTAAAACACTGACACTGCAGACTTCTAACATTGGCATCAAGGTGTGAGTAGCCTCTGCAGCGATTGAGGTGCCATCTCACATCAGTTGTGAGAACCTTGTTTCTTTGAATGATTGCAAGAGGGCTCATTTTTAGCTCAAGCTAGATATCAATATGATTTATTTGTCAGATAAACTTGAGGGCATCAATGTTAAGAAGAAAAGAACATCACAACAGGCTTTAGATTGAAAGAAATCTGATAAGGTCCAACCATGCTCAATAAGAGCTGGATTTGAAAGAAGCATGCCCGTTTACTTGTCATGTCATAGGAAGGGACGAGTGGGACATTTGAATTGCATCCAAACTGATTGAAGACCTACTTATGCACCTGCTCTGTTAGTAGATGAATTTAGCCCTCCGAGGTACGAATGATCATGTTAAAAAATCAGATACAACTCGATGGCAGCTTCATGATGGGAACTTTCTTTGTCTGTGGCTGAAAACAATTATGGACTCAAGTATTTGATAAAGAAAGCATGCATCAACTGGATCATAACTCGCTCATAATTTTAGAAATTAGTCGCATCTTCGCATAAAGAGTTTCCAAGATACTTACTGAAGTCCAAAATCAACTATTAGAATAAAAAGAAACTGAAAATGCCTGCAATAGCTTCAGATTTATTTTCTCTGTTGCAAACCAATTAGGTGATGCAGATAAAGCTTGAAATAAATGAAAATTTGCTCATTTATTATGCAGAATATGGAAAGAATGGATTAACCTTTCAAGTGGTATGGCCATGCACTCCCAATCCTGCAGGAGTGTGGCAGTACTGGTACATCCTAGATCTTCGAATTCATATTGCCACATTTTTACAGATGCAGTCACTTTGAGCTTAAATTTGGAGCTTCCTGAATATGTCTTGCCATAGTCAGTACTGCCACCTTCACGCTAGTACAGAAAATAACAGGAAAAATTAAATACTAACTTTGGGGTGGTTTGTGAGAGAGGGTTTTCATTGACTCTCTCACTGTCAGATGCCCGTTCCATTTCGAAAATTAAGCAGAGAGAGGTGTGCTCTCAATTTTCAATGACAAATCTAGAAAGTCCTGGAACTGGCAATAAATTGATGACAAAATGTCTCACGTGTAAGGTGTTGGTGGACAAGAAGCAGTTTGTGTCATGAGATTCAAAATTGAAACAAATCAGAGCTGGAACCCATTTGCAAAAAAAAACTCACTCATAGGGGCATGCACAGTCTTAAAAGAACTCACTTCTCAAAGGGTTAAGATGTGAAGATAATCAAGTACTACTGGGTATGAGAACCTCTACTGAAGCAGAGTAGACCCAGCTATGTTCACCCAGGCAGGAGTGGGGATACTCAATAGTCCTAGGCAGGGCCACCTGGAGGTTTCCAGAGGCCCCTTGAGGCTCCCTTGATACACAAGACCCGTGGCAGATTGTCCCCTCCCCTTTTTTCTAGTTGTAAATTTTTGACGCATGGACATTAGGACAAGTATGTACTTGGGATAATGCAAGCAAGCAGGCAGTTGCACGATGAGTATGTACTCAGGATGACACCAAAAGAGTTAAGCCAGGGATGTGCAACCCGTGGCCTGCTGGCTGCATGTGGCCCAGTAATGCATAAATGGATAACAGATGAGTTTCTTTGCAACCGAAGGCCCATCACAACTTTGGTCATCCCTTAGTAACAAGAAATCAACTGAATCCTTTCTTCTCATTTTTCCTCACATGGGGTGCTACGTGTCCCGAGGAAGAAGGTTCTCAATGCCAAAGGCTATTTTTGGACGTTGGAATTTCCTAGGAGTGGGGAGGAGGTAAGGATCATTGGCCAATCAACATGACCTTATGCCCTCATATGCCCTGAGGACAAAAGAGGGAAACCTTTTCTTTTGCATTCTGTGGCCCATGCTAAGAGCCGCACATTTCCATGCAGCCCACTGCCGATAAAGGCTGCACACCCCTGGGTTAAGCAATATTTACTTTTGCATATGAACAGTCACAATAGACTACTTAAAAGAGACAAATTCGATCCTCTGCATAAATTATTTTTAAATTAGCACATTTGAAACAGCATAGTAAAGTACCTCTAGTCCATAACCAGTTATATTCCCAAGGCTGCTAAAATAGACATATGTAACAAATTAATAATCTTCTTCATACAGATTTCCATGGCATCCTGTCTAGCCTAAGTCTGAGCAAAAAACTATGGGACAGAAGTGAACTGGAGTTTCTTTACAGGGGTGTGAAACCTTTACTTGCAGTGGGGCATATGAAAATGTTGGGCCATTGAATGAAAAAGGAGATTCCCTGCATATGCCCTCAGGGTGTGCAGTAGACTGCATGACCTAAGATCATGCCGATTGACAGACGACCCTCATCCCTTCTCCACCTCTTGAAAATTCCAAAATCCAAAAATAGCCTTGACATTAAGGGCCTCTTTTTGAGAGGCATTTGAAACAACAAGGGCATGGAGATTAATTTGGGAGAAGAAACCACTGTCTTGTTCTAATTATTAGGGGATGGACAAAGTTGCAAAGGGCCATGAGAAGTAAGTAAAGGGGTCATAAATGGGCAGCCCATGGGCTGCAGGTTGCACATCTCTGATCTGTAAGTAGATAAAAAGAGGCAAATTCATGTAAAAAATGGCCATAATTATTAATAGTTCACTTTACCATTAATTTTAAAATACCATTATTTAAAAAAATTATTGGATGAACATTTGGGGAACAAGAACAATGACTGGAAGAACTGAAGCAAATCTTTATTTTTTTTTTTCTTTTGCAGTGGACCTTGCATATCACAGCCTCAGGACTATTCTGCTGTATATGCATGTGTCTGGTATGACTCACCTATCCAGAAAGTTGGTTGATGCTATGCAGGTCTTACTGCAAACTGACCCCACAGTCAATGAAGGTCTTTTCAGAGCAAAATAGAAACAAACTGCATCAAATACTAAAGGGTTAAAGCTAGCTTAAAAATCATTGATCATTAGAATGGATCTACATGTTTCAAAGCACTTTTTCAGATGCAACAGTAAATGGGTACACTTATAAACTGAAAATGAAATATGCAATGATCTGGAAGTGAAATAAACTTTCACTAGGTCTTAGAGGTTCATGAAAACTTGAATTCCAAGCTGACTTTCACCATAGCTGGAAGTACCTTCAATATCAATGGAGTGACTACACTCACCATGAGTTAGACCATTTTGTTAAACTCTTCTGATGACATCTTCCATTTTCTACTATTTTCATACATTTCTAGGATCCGACTTACTCTGGTCATCTTCCACATCATACAATTTCCCTACTGATGCTATGGACATAGCATCTTCTTGCAACATTGAATATACTGAACATTGAATACTGAAATTTCTGCACCCAGCCAAATAGGGTTGGCATATGAGCCACAGCCAAAATTGACATGTGAAGGCTAAAAAAAATGCTGCATGAAGATATAGGGAGTGGGGGAGGGAAAAAAAAGGTTGATTGGGTTTTATTCCTTCATATCATCACTGGCTACAACCACAAACCATATGCATCATCATAGCTCAGCCAAGTTCAAATGACTAAATCTCACAGTTCACATTCAATGGTGCATCACCATAAAAAAAATCAAAAGGACAAGAGAGACATAGGGATGACACCGGTAGATATTGTGACCAGACAAAGGGAATTAGAATATTTGGCATCTTGATTTCTTCAGTAAGTAAATCCACTTAATATATCATACTAATGCAGGATACAGAATGGAATATATGATATTCAGAAAATGGAATGTTCTTGCATGTCTTACACAAACAATCACAAGCCAGCATTATGCACTTTCAAGCATCTGAGAGTATCCTTCCTTTCCTCTTCTACTGCCTTTATTGAGGGTTTCTGTATATCAGGTGTATGCAACATCAATTGATGATTTCCCTTTAGATTGGGCATTCTCTACTCAACTCTGCTTGTTCCAAGATACAAGGAGCTTGTTTAAGCAAACTTCTGTGAGAAGCCTGGTTTCTTTATGGAAAAACTGCAGAATTTAATAGCATTGCAATCAACCTGCTGCATTGCATGATACTACCATTCACTTCTAAGACTTTACTGTTTTCACCAAAGCATTGGTTCACATAAAGATGGCACATCATCTATATTAAACAATAACCAAAATGCACACAGGTACTGTGTGCAAGACTGGGTTTGTACTGCTCTAACTGACTTTTGACAATGAAGTATTTAAGAAAAAAAAAAACAGAAATCCAACAGTACCAGTATTATTCACTAATCTCACTTTTCCTTCAAGCATTTTCAAGATGGAGGGAACTGCTTAAGAATATTTCAATATTCATTGAACACTAATAACTTCTTGCAAATAGCATACATTTCATTGCTGTCTTAACCATGCACATCTCCATGAAGACATCCTTTCAAACAATTAGTGGATGTCACAAAAAAGGATTAGTTGCAAGTGCATACAGAAAGACCCCTTCACAGTAAAAAGACAAGTAGTAAAATTCTCATGAATCTGAAAAGAATTCTGCCTCCTCAAAAATAGCTTCCATTGAAAAAATGTTAAATAATCCCACCAGCAAAACTAGTAGTAAAGAATCATTTGCTATGAATAACATTTGCAGACCAGTACCTATTCCATCTCTTATCAACAAGGGTGATGGAGACTCCAGACAGAACATGGGGATTCAGGCTGAAGTATTTCTATGTCTGCAGAAGAGAAGTAAGGATAAGAGAAATAAACGTCTACCATGTTGCAATGAAAGGGTGGACATTATTTGTCCATTTCCTAAATATCAAGCAGCAGTGAGAATATTACATCTCTTCAGTCATAAAGCTTCCCTCCTTCTTTAGCAGGTCTAGGCTAATGCCTACCCTTTCTGCCAGAGTTCCTGCATCTTTCCAATGCAAGAGCCAATGGATGGAAGAATCCTTCCATATCATACCAAGAACTCTTGTGGTATGTGATTGTGGTGTGAAATGTTTTCTATGGTTCCATGGCACTCCACTAACGTGTTAACAGGGTTTTACTATAATGGTGTACCAAAAATGACAAGGAGAAATCTAAAGCAATACAAAAATCAGCCTCAAACCCTTGAGCATGACTGAGAGTGGAAGATCACTCATTCTGATCCATTCAAGGCCTCCTTCACTCTAGGAGACTAGAGTATGGCCTTAATCAGTACTTGCAGATGCACTGTTGCTCTTGGTCAACTATAGTCCAATAAGGACTTTTCATCAGGCACAGAAGAGGTGAGAGCATCAATCTCTCTTGAATGCAAGGATGAATCTCCAAAGAAGATCCAGTTCACTGTGGGTCATTCTGTCCTTTGCACCATGGGTGGGAATTCACCCTCATCATCAAGGCGTAGATGACCCTTTGGAGGTGATTCCACCTCAGCTGCAATCTCCCTCGTACGTTCTGAATCTGCCAAATCAGGGCAGAAATGCAGTACTTTTTGCAGCCAAAAGGATTGCATGCAGGATTTTCATATATGCAGGCCTTTATGAGGGTTGAACTCAATCCCACTCAAGTCAAAGGGGAAAAATCACAAAGCAAACAAAGGAGGCAGGAGGTCAGAGGTGATTGCATAAAATAAGAACTAAGGAGGAGAGGAGAGGTGAGGTAAGGTTCTGAGGGATAGAGGCTGACCTGTCATTGCATTTGGGGTGCGTCGTCCCTGCAAAATGCCAGCGTATGACGCAGTCATCATTGTCGTCTGTCCTGAGAGTCATGGATGGGGGGAAAAAAAAGAGAGAGAAAGGGTGAAAGGAACAGGGAGGAAGGAAAGGAGTGCAATGGCAGGATTGTCATTTAACTTCACTTTTTGCTGTCACAGCTCAAGTAGAAAAATAAAGTCTTCTCACCTGCAGACTTTGGGATGTCAGCTGGCTTGGAAGGGCTTCCAAACATGCCTCCAACCATGTCTGGTCTACCATCCAATCTGAATTAAAGTGAAACATATAAATAACAAATTGAAGCTGTTATTCAGAGGCAAAAAATTTGTCATCCAATATTCCATACTCACCTATGCTGCTTAACTAACACACAGTCCCCACCTGAGGAAATGTCAACATTATAGACATATAAGTATCCATCAGCTGAAGCCACCAGGAGCCTCAGCATCTTCTGTATCCTGCTCAGAATAAACCATTCATAGGAATGTGCCAAGCTGCAGGAAAAGCACTGTTGCTTTCAGTTCAGGGGGACTTACACAGCCAACGAGCAAATGTTGCGTAAACCCTGAAAGGGCAAATGTACACTGGCAAAGTCACGGCCTTGGTTGAACACCTCAGTGACCTGAGATGGGAGGTAACTAGCTGAAACAGAGACTGCCCGGCTGAAATAATCCATCCAGCTCCCAGATCCTCCACTTTCTTCAGCACTTGAATGTCCAGTACCAGAGCTGAGATAGAAAATGACAAAAATCTTGAAACCTCATCACAATGGAAGTAGGTTACTTTATATGGGCTATTGCTGTTAAATGTCACCTGTCTTTGGGTGTCTCAAGCTTGAAGATATGCACAGTTTCAGTATTACTTGAAGCACATAGGAACAAGGAATCAGAACTGAAGGACAGGCTGTAAATGGTCACACAGCGCTTGACCCCTCGACGGAACTCAAACAATTTGGTGCTGTCCTGGATATTGAAGATTCTAATCACTGTCCCTTTTTCAGAGGCTGTGGCCAACTTGGTCCCAGAGGCATTGAAGTTGACAGCAGCCAGAGGGCTATCATGTGCTGGGATCATTGTCTTTGCTTGCTGCATCCAGAAAGATAAAAATCACATTGAATCTCTTTTGATCTTGTTCAACTCAACTGTGGCATGAGATATATCCAGCTCACCAAGTTCAATGCATCAAAAACTTGAACTTCACCAATGTGACTGGAGCCAGGATATGCAAGATAGCAATTATCACTATTGATAGACAAGGCACAGAGCCCATGTGGATTCGGAGGTGTATCTCGAATGGTATGCAGGACTTTCATGTCACGGATGTTGTGAATATAGAGAGATTCCTCCAGACAGACAATCAACCTCTGTTTGATATCACAAAATAGTCATTATTTTTATCTTCCTGGAAAGGAACTGAATTGTACGAGCAACAAGATCTCACCATGCGATTTAACCGAACAGCCAAAATTGTATTCGAATAACTGTAGTTGCAGATTTCTGTTCCCTTCTTGAAGTGGCATACTTTGAGCTTTCGTGGTGAAGATAAACTGACAACAGCAACCAGGCTGCTGGAAAACAGCCGTTCCACTATGCAGATGTCCTCTGATTCTGTCAGATAGGACAAGAACCAATCTCATTTCACTAGTTATGAAAATAAGGAATAAGCATGCAATCCCTACACTAAACCTCCCCATAAACCTATAACCATAGCCAACATGGTTATAGAATAAGATATTCAAGTTGAATGAGCAATAAAACATTGTAGGCAATAACCAATCAAGGTTACAGATTAATTCTGGGTATATCAGCTAGATATTATAACCCTTGCCAATTTAAATGTAAAAATTACCATCTGAATAGCAGTTCCAAAGGAGCATAAGCAAATATTTTCTGGATATTTGTGAAGTTCACTATGAAAACAATAGATATGTTTATAAGTTACTATTCCAACCTGGGCAGCCCTAAGCATACCTGCATACCTTTAGAAAGCCTTAAAATAAATCCCTTCTGTTGATGTTTCCAATTTAACCATTCCTTCCCATCAGTTGCTCACTTTCTCTTGCTTTCCCCTCCCCCTTTCTTTCCTAATGCTTTAGACCAATTGTCATACCCCTTTTGAGCACTTGGTCCATTGAAATTTTATCCTTTTTCTTCCCTTTTTGACTTGGGAAAGAGTATTCACTCATTCATTCACTCAAATGTGTGATAAATATTCATCTGTCTGAATAAGGCAGGAAAAAGGGAATATTGCTGGTTAAATTAAAATTGTTTCATATTAGTTGAGTGAAGTATTTGTAACGCTGTAGAATGTAAAGCCATCATCAACGGTTCAATATAATTCCAAATATTAGCCTCATCTTTAAGTTAGATAATACCCAATATTGCTGTGCCCCTTGGGATTTTCCTAAATCCACATTCTTTTCTGGGGCCCAGCTGGACTATCAAACTTTCACCTGCTTTCTGGATTCCTAAACTTCAAGCACACGTACTCTCAGCCAAGGAGAAGTTAGATGATGAAGTGTGAGAATAAGGGTGGGAAGAGCTCAGGGAAGACCTCCAGGCACTTATATATAATATATAAATAGCTAACCTGGTCCTACCAAAGAGAAGATGCAAAATGCAAAAAGATATAGGATCAAGAACAGTCTCTAGTTGAAGATAGACATAAGTATGCTTTGGCTTACTTGTGCTATATTTGCTTGTGTTTGTTTTTCATCAGTTTAAATGTTAACATATAGGCCCATGTCAAGGCTATATGCATCTAACTTTCAATTTGATTGATGATATTACCTGAAGTCTTGGTAGGCACAGACAACAGTTTATTCTAAAACCTATTCAGTGCCTGAATAAGCCCAGCAAAAGGAAAACAAGGAAGCAAAATAAAATACACAGAAATTATGCCAGCTTCTTGAACTCACCATTCTCATAGATTTGTTCGATGTTATCCACTGAATTCAGAGAAAAGAGTTTATAACCCTTCTTCGTGCCAACTGCTAGTGAACTGAAAAAGGCAAGAAAATTATAATTCACTTCAAGACTATTCTTAATTCGTGGCAGAGAAAGTCATCTCTTGTTCATTCATTCCAGGGTCAACAGAAACCCACCTAGAATCCTGGTTGAAATTTACGAAAAAAACTCCACTTGATGGATCTCCTCCTTGGCTGGCCAGGTTCATTTTGAAGACGTCGATATGAGGTTCAGTAGGCTTAATGAACTTCCGAGTGAGGAAACAGTCTGCGCCTAGGCCTACTCGTCAATGACCTATTAGCATCCAGAAATCACGAGATGAGAATATGGGGAAAATAGTGAAAGGGATGAAAGTCAGCCAAGCATAGGTAGAGAATGCATCACGCTGGCACAAAACTGAGGAAAATGAGCAGACGACGCAATACCCTAGAGTTGTCGGATACAAGCGACAATTCCTCACATTCGAAAGGACGGAATGATAAACCAATTAGAGATACATCCTAAGAATAATTTGCATATAAATTCTCAATGTTTCCTTGTGAATGAATCTCTCGCTTTATCCCGTGGGTGCGTCACACTTTTGGAATAGAACATAATCTCCAGGACCTTCAAACCGTAAAGTGCACGGAGCACTGACCAGTAATGGCAACTCCCATGTATGGGAGTGCAAATGCTGCACGCGCCGAAGAATTGGATGTGGAATTTCTCGGGATAATTTACGAAATTATTCGGAGGTAGGTCTTATTTATTGCTTCCATCACGAAAGCTCTCCGATATGAAGCTATACATTATTTGTTGGAGCAAAAATCTTAGCTTGTGCTAAGAGGTAAAGGCCTGGTGGGCACCTGGTTTGCAGGGCCGCCCAGAGGTTTCCAGGGACCCGGGGCAAAACTAAACCAGAGACCCTTGGGGTCTCTTGATACGAGGGGTCCGGGGCAGATTGCCCCATCTGCCCTTCCTCCCCCCCCCCCCCCCCCCCCCCCCCCCCCCCCCCCNCGGCCCCCCCCCCCCCCCCCCCCCCCCCCCCCCCCCCTCTCTAGGCGGCCCTGCTGGTTTGCACAAAATCGATTTTAAGTTCGCATAGGGACGTCAAGTATGATGTTTGCTCATCATGATGACCCGTGTCAAGCTCGTTCGCTCATACAAAGTTGAAATGGCGTACTCCTTCAACGTTAAAGATCATTTTGAAAACAAAACATGTTTACCTCCTGTCTAGTTGCTCCACAGCAGTTATGGTCAAGTGCATACCCCCCCAAGGATATTGTGTTGCCCTAAAGTCAGACCAGGTTAGGTTAGTACTTATTAAAACGAAATGAATCCCAATGGATGTGGCATATTTCCAGTTGAATTCATCTGGAAACATTGGAGCATGGGGTAGTGTAATTTCTCTAGTGCAGGGGTCTGGAACCTATGGCTCACAAGCCAAAAAGTTTGGCTCATTGAGTAGTGGCTGAAAATCATGGTTTTTCCTTATTTTTCTCACGTATCAAAGAATGCATACGTCTGTTGCCAACTTCAGGAAACATTGTTTTTCCAAAAATCTTTTTCTCACAAGCCCTTAGCTCAATCTTAATATGGCTCACTTGACCAAAAAGGTTCCTGACCCCTGCTCTAGTGCAATTAACACACTTAACCATTGCCACAATGATGAAGGAAGGGGGTGGTCCAGAGGTGCAAAATGTACTCTTTGAAACCCATCTGACGTCACCAAAGCCAAAATTAATATGTTTTGATCCTTGCTGTGTGCCAACCCAACTCTAATTAGTCTCACACTGAAACTGTGTCCAATGATGAAGTCAGTGTAGCTTCCCCCTCTTCTACATGTGTTAGCCTTGTTGCCATATTTTTGAATTCCAAGTATACTTCATCCAGAATGTAATAGAAATAAAGTTTATGTGCATGCCTCAGTTGCACCCCATAAGCATTATAAATTTTTTGGCATGGGTTCTGTAAAGCACTTAGTGATTATTGTTTATTCCCCTGAAGCATAAAGGCTCATCGTGAACTCCTTAGATGGGCCCAGTTTTTCATTTTCACCTTGAACTTCCACTGAAGGCCTAGCCAAAGTCAATATAGGATCTCATAATCATGATGTAGATCTATGTCAGCTATACACTTTCACTTGTGCTTCATAGGAACATCAAAGATGCTTTGTCCAGCATGAGTCCAGACTAAGCATTTAAACTCAGAAATTATTTTTAAATTGATCTTTCAACATCTCCCCTCCCAATATTGTTGATTTATGTGTCTACCTTAATGCTGTACAGGTTTATTTGATGCCTTGCATGTATATTGAAACTGAACTGAATCACATTCAAGTTTGAACTAGCATTCCTTGTGACTCTCTTGAATGGCTGAATGATTTCTCATTATTTGCTATGGGTATTGAGTTAGCAATGAAAAACTGAATGAATAGGACTGATCTGTAATGCTCATTGCATACACCTGGCAGTTTCATAAATACTTAAACAATGAAGTTAGAAGTCAGATTTTTTGCCTCAATTGATGAAGTTACTTTGAAAAAATGTTATCTGGCATTGATTTTCGTATGAATGCTTTTCCTTATGTAGTATTGTAACATCACTCCACATCTATTTAAATCAATTTGCCTTGACACGTTGATGCCAGGAACCGTTATATTATGTTTTTAAACCCATATTGTACTGCAGTCACTTGGCATGAATGTGTTAACTTTCAGTAGTTCATAAAGCACATGAGCTAAATCAGCTTGACCTCTGAAATTCCAGTGACCCTCAACATTAATATGCTATTTATAAGGAGCACTTCTAGGTAATTAGCATCATTTTCTTGAGTTTCTGAAATAAGTTTATGTAATTCCCTTCCCTTTTTTTTTACCACTTTTTCATACCCAAATGGAAACAACTCATTAACACATTGACCACCACCATATTTTTTATTCATACACTGCAGAAATTTGAAGAAAAAAAAGTATTTAAGAAATGTTAATATCCAATCTTTCATATTTTTTTACTCAGTCATAGAAATTAAAAAAAAATACGAAAGCAATTAGTAATATCCAATGCTCCATCATGCAATGTTAGAAATTAGAGATATCTCGTACTAGGTGTCGGACATATGGAAATATAGTACAAGATATCTTGTACCTGGCAGTCAATATGTTAAGACGAGATTGATGACATGGCACCTGCTGGTCTCTGTGAGGGGATGTGAAGCTGTGCAAGATGCACAAGATTTTAAATGGTGGTGGTGAAGGTAATAAGCTCTATAAAATAAAATATACATCTTTTAAGAAAATGATCACCTATGATGAAGAGCCTTTTCAAATTCAGAGAAACTGATTACTGATTTAGTTCAAAACTTTTGCCTTCATGAAGGCTTGAGTTGAGTGTTTATTCTGCTCATGAGTCAGGAATACAAAATCACTTGTTTACAAGTTATGGGGAGAAATACAAATAACTTTCTGAATGTAGCACACAATTGCCAAGATCGGTATTTTAACAGTTGAGCAGTGGGGCAATGTGGGAAAACAGGGTTCTATTATGACCTTGTCAGCTAAGCATATCCTGCACTCAAAAGATATGCATTCCCATGCTGCTGAATTTATTTACCTTGGCATCTGCTCTCACTTGTATCATGTTAAGAGTTTCAGACTTGCATGAAAGACTTGTCAAGAGTTCAAGTTGAAGGTCTTTCACTTGTAAGAGAGGGGAGCATCTCAAGATAGAATACATTTTCTCCCTTGTTGGAGCAGATAAGTCCCATCATATTAAGCAAGCTCTGTAAGGGCCACTTTGGTCAGTCTGAAAAAAAGAAAACATGGATGGTAAAATCCATAAAAATGTTAATTAGTGTGAAGGGAAAGAGAAGAAAAAAATCCCTTCTGGCACAATGGCTGCCTTTTTTTTTTTTCCTTGTAAAACCCTTTCTCAGCTTGAAGGTATACAGTTCAAAATTGTTTACAATGGAGGTGAAAGAGATCCACATCATGCAAAGGTCATACCAAAAGTTTTGCTTCATTGGCCAAAAAAAATTATTTTTTACACCAGGCATGTGACAATTTGCTTACATCATTCTAAAACAGCTGTTATCACTACTGTTTCTCAATGTATTCACCACTGACCCTGATGCACATTTTCCAATGTTTAATTCACCTCTGAAAACCAGTTTTGAAAAACTCCTTGTCACATGTTGTTCCACACACAAATTGACTGTTTCAAGTTGTTGTAATCACTGAACTGGTGACCACAGATGTGATTCTTTAACACTTTCATTCCAGAGGGTTGGTGACAGGTTATTTTTGAGGTCTACCAAAAAATACATAACTTCAAAGCACAAATGATAGAGAATAACTCTTTTTTTTTTATCTAAAAGAACGTACTATTACGGGCATACAGTTATGTCTGTCGGATTGAAAGTGTTAAAGGACCAAACAGATGAAAGTCTGATGGAGCAAGGTCAGGGCTTTAGGGGGGAATGAGGCACAATAGTCCAGCTGAATTTTGCAATCTGTGCAGGGATTACTGGTGATGTGAGACCTTGCATTATCATGATGGAAGATCATATCACTTTGGGGGGTTCCAGGGCATTTGTTTTTCAAGAATTAACCAATTTTCTTGAGAGTTAGAATGTAGTGGTCACTGTTAATGATAATATTAATGATGGTCAATGTTAATACTCCTTTCCAGATAATTGACAAGGAGCTTGTCCTTCTTGATCTCAAAAGACTGTCACCATGATTTTGCCAACTGTTGCTTTGGCTCAATTACTACATGTTGCTTCATCCCATTATCTATGTTATTAGTGAGCTTCAGTCAAAATCAATGCATGCAAGTAAAAGAGAAAGGATTAGGCTAACATCAAGGAAAATTTGATCCTCGTATATAAATGCAATCTGATATAACAATGTATGAAGCAATACTTTCAGTTCACCCCGCATACATAACATACATCAATTGAAGTCGATATTTTGTATTTTCAGATGTATTTGAAGAATTCTGTCACCTGTTTGAAGAATTAAAATGTGTCAAAACTGAAGAAATGTTCTTAATTCACAATTCTATAAAATTGAAAATAAGTTGAAATGGATTGCCTGTCATTTATTTCACAGCAAAAAATGCATCTCAGTTGCTTTTAAATGAAAAAATATGGAATATGCACCTCAATTGATGTGCAGTGTAATTACCAATGGAATTTACCTAGGTTTGTTATAGTCAAAGCATAATCATAAATTCATTTATTTAGGACTCACTTAAAGTTGGCTAGCTTCAGAATCAGGTTTTTCTCATTGCAGTATTGATCGAGATCCTATTGACTCAGCACAGAAGGCCAGAGATACACAAGATACTACTCATAAGATCCTGGAACTGAACAACAAGTTGCAGCAGTGCAGAGAACAGGTACCAAAACCCCCATTGCATTTATCAAATACATGATGACAAAATGTTTTTGCTCTTCTTTCAGATTCAGAAGCTTCCAGGCATTGAGTGTAGCAAGGAAGAACAACTTAAACGTCTTGAAGCCCTGAGGAAACAACTCATTCTCAAGAAGGAACTTCTTCTGAAGTATCGTAATATGTGCACTTTTGACTTGCCAGACGGAGATTTATGATGCTGCGTTGGTTACTTCATCGCATCCTAAATAACGAACAGCTCATTGAGAAACTCTCCCAATCATATCCTATCCGGAGGGCTGCTCAGATGACAGCATACTTGTATAATCGAGCGAAGATGGCCCAGGATGATATTTCTGGATCTGATGCTGTGAAGAGACTATCAGAACGCAAAAATAGTTTCGTGCAAAGGTTTGTTGAAGAGTTGAAGAAATCTTGGCAAGAGCAACAAAAGAAAAACTAGGTGTGATATAGTGACTCTATTTAAACCTTCACAAAATGAGGGAATCAACTGCAATATCTATTACAGAAGAATCAGGAATCCTTTCCCAAGCACGTGCTAGAGTGAAAGCCATTGGGAATGAGAACTTTGCTTTTCAGGTTGTCCGTGTGCTGACCTGGCCATTTGTGCCACATTTTCTGGATAACCAGCTGTCAAGAAGATATGGCCAGAATGTTAAGATAGCAGCCAGCATTGTATCAGCTCTAGCAGTCTTTCTCCTCAGTCAGACTGGCCTCAAAAGTTTTCACTCAGTCATCCTAGTGACCTATGGATACTGGTTGACCATGTCTGTTGTCATGAATGTTCTTGGCAGATGTTTATCAATGAGATTCTCACTGCAAGGGCTTCTGGCAAATATTGGTGTGAGTCTCATAGGACATAATTTGGTCCTGATCCTGATGAAGTCTGCTGGGAATCAGTCAAACATCAATTTCTTCCTCCTCTGCATGGTCATGTTTGGTGGACTAGCCACATTCCGGGTGGTGTTCCTAATTTTTGACAGAGTGGTGAATCCAGCATTGCGTTTTTTAATTGGCACACTATTTGCCACTGGGAATTTGCTGCATCTTACATATCTGCAGTATGGCTTTCTTCATGAAGTCAAGTGATGTGTTATTTGAACAGTCATATAGCCCTAATATAGTGAAATGCACTTTGTGACAGTTTCTGGTTTTTTCATTCACTTCATTCCAACAATAGAAGTGGACACAGCTTTATCTATCTAACCATAAACAGCATCTGCTAGTCTTGCATTTACTATCGCAGAAGCATGAAATGATTGGAAATGACATCAAGTCTGCTATCAATTTATTTCATCACTGAGAATCATACACTGTGCAAACAGGAAATTCTATTTCCTTTTCATTTGTAGAAAGTTTCACATTTTTTTCAGTGGAAAATTAAGTAAATATGGTCACATGTCATTTCCCATTTCATGTCTTGAAGTTTTCTGTAACAAGATAAATGACATGTAACCATAATTAAGTATCCACAGGAGGAAACAGGAGAACTCAAGCTCCTCAGTTCTTTCAAATGTTGTGCAAAATGACACAGTGGGAAAAGAAGAAAATGAGTCACAACAAGCCAGTCAAATGCAAGAATTCCCTTACAGCTCATGAAATGGAATCACAAAAAATACATGTCCAAGGTACAAGAAAGAGTGATCAACCATGAAACATGGAGTGATGAAGAAAAACTCACCTGTGCTGCCTCAATGACCTGCTCTGCTTCTTCTCCATTTCACCACTATCATTTTCTTCTTCTCCAACCTCATTCATAAATGAAACTTAATATACCACATGGAAAAAGATCCCATTTGAAATATTACTTTCAGACTAATGAGCTCCTTACTGATTGCAGAACAGGCATCTGTTTCTGCATCTTGTTGGGTTTTGCCCTGGGCTGCTGAGAACCTGGATTTGCATGTGGACAGAGCTTTATGATATTCCCCACTGCCTTTGTCCTCCCCTCTCGAAATACCTTCAATGAAGATATCAAATTAATCACACAATTGACTACTTTGAAACCAGTACTCTCAACATGTGCAGAATTTTCAGTGAGACTTACCAGCCTTTGGCCTGCTTTAATGTATTCAGGGTGCTTGATGAAGCGGAAACGGACTGTGGCCTTGTCTCCAGTCCTAAGGCAATCCTTTGTCATGCTTAGGATGGATGCTGTTTGTCGAATGCTACCACAATGGACTACAAGGAAAAAATGGAACATGCATCAAACTTCCCAACAGAAACGAGATCTTAGTGTTGGGGAGACAGAAATAAAGCAAACCCATGGCCTGGTATCTAGGACTGATTGTGGTAGGATGATGAAGGACCAAGATCTCGCCTTCAAATTCCCAGCAAGCCTGAGGGTTCACAGCTGGGGAGACCATCACCATGCCTTTTCGAATTTCAGATCTCTTGATCTGCAGAACAAGAATGTTGTATTATGCAAGACCTTGATGAAAAATGAGCCAAGAGCATGTCTTTCATAGGTGTTATGTAGCATCTCCTCACTCCTCAACTTTAGGTGTTTAACCCTTTCCAGTCCATTTTATTTGTAACCCTATGGAGATTGTCAGACTAGGTCCACCAGTGGACTGCAAAGGGTTAACACATGATCTGGGAACGTGTACATGGGTGAAGGTGGTGAGTTGTGACAGGACATAATCCCCCATCCTCTCTTCCATCCAAATGCATTGTAGGAGACAATTCCCTGGGCCTCCTGGCAATGAATCACACCTGACAGGCAGGCAAGAATAGCCATAAACCAATTTTTATCATGTGATTTGATTTTAAGGTAGAGAGGATATGGGCAAAATATTGTTAACCCATTGCTTGCCTTTCTCCCCCTTTCACCTGAAACCTTGTGTCAATTTATTCAACTTTATCTCCCCTTTCACAAAAAAATTAGATTCAATAGGCCATAAATATACCTTCAGCATTTATATTGCCTCTGGGAGGTCATTTAGTGGCAAGAGAAATATGAAATGCAGTTAAGGTGGTTCACAAATTGCAAGTTGTAGTGTCTCAGATGAGGTCTGTGTTCTCAGTTTGTGATCTGCTCTTTCAGTGTTATGTGCCAATGGGAAACACATAACAAAAAATATGCTGATTCAGCTTCATCTTTAGAATCCATGTCTCCAGTGATTAAAGGGAATGTATGAGAGCTCCCATTAGCAGATTATGTATTAATAAGGTGTATGCATGAAGAAGTCCCTGAAATCAGATGTCCTTGCCAACTTACTGACCAGCAATAAAAGTAGGGCTTCTTGCAAAGCAACAAAGCAGGTCTTAATAATCCACTTTCCAAGGAGCTTCTGACATGCTAGCATGTAATTGACTTTTTTCTTTCATTCTCATGCTAAACCCCTGCTCATGCTCATGAAACAAGCAGCATTATTCAATGTTGCGTGCTTCAGGGGCCAAATAGTGTGCTTTGGCAAATTTTTCAAGGAGACCCTTCAAATAAATATTTGTTCACCTTCTTTAGTGAAAAGGAGGCTGTCTGACCACCTCGAACTTCTCGAACAGGCATTCTTTTCCTATGTATGCTCTTGACAGTGATGGACCTGAAGTGGCCCAGAGGATCAGGTCCAAGAAGAAGCACATCATTCAACCTAATGGTCCCCTTCAGCGTTGTCCCTGACACCACTGTCCCCACACCCTAACAGGCACAATGAAAACAGTTCAGTGACAACCTCCATTTTGATTTCAAAAACCTGCATAGAGTGAAATCACAATTAAAACAGGAAACTCACAGGAACAGAATAGGTGTCATCAATCTGGAATTCAGCTGGCTCATTGTTGTTCCCAGGCATCCGAGTCATTAGCAAGTTCAGGAACATTTTTAATAGATCCAAGTTCTCTCCAGTAACATTTGAGACTTGGAAAATGGGACATAATCTACAATAGGAAAAATTTTTCAGCTAGCCGAGCTTGGACACAATCATGTCATAAAGTGGTTCCTCACTGACCGCTCTGAAACAAAGTTTGTTGCACTCATGACAACATCATCAGTAGATTTGACCATGATGGGGACTTTACGGCACCCAGCAGACTTGAGAATCTTCACAAGAAGTTTCATTGTTTCCTGCAGCACATTTGGAGGACACATATCAATTTTTGTGACCACCACAAAGACTGGGACACTTAATGCCAGAGCAAGGCCCAGGTGCTCTTTTGTCATGCCAATCACACCAGCATTTGCACCCACCTGTAAAAAAGCAAGTGAGTATTATTGATAATATTTCAGAAAAGTTGTTAAAGATATAAGAAGTTGAGGTCAGAAACAAAATAGTGCAACCCATAAGAAGTTCAGTTTTAAAGAAACAGCAACAAAAAAGTTTTATAGCAGAGCTCATTGATATTTGTGATTACTTTCCTTCACCACTCTATAAATGTTTGCCAATTTAGCTGAACTCAAGCTACCATTTCAATCTGACTATAATAGAATAAAATTCATTAGTAGGTTACACTGCTTGGCTTCTGAAACTCTTATTTCTACCTACCATCAACATCCCAAAATCAGGAGCATGTCCTGTCATCCCAAAGACTGTTGTTTTGAGATATTTCTCATGTCCCGCCAAGTCAATGAATGTGATAACTTTAGATGACTTCTCACAAATCCGTACCCAGTCAAGAGATCCATGGTCAGATTTATTCACAACTGCCCCTGTTGTACAAAAGCAAATATTCAAATGATAACATTTTCTACATTTTAGAGTGGAGCAACATATAAAACAATATACCTTGACTATCAAATCCCAGAATGTCATTTCCAACTGAGCTCGTCCTCCCTGACTCCATTTCATGCTTATGACGAAAGAGTTTCTGCCTTGCAAATCCTCTCCCATTGTCTAGTTCTCCATGGGTCAAAACTCCTAGAAGAGTTGACTTCCCAGCATCCACATTGCCAACAACTGCAACCCTGAAATATGTTTATTTCCCTTTTTTTTTCCTTTGGAGTGGTATGGTAGTAGAAGTGTGCAGAAGAGATCTCACCTGACTTCCATGAAATCTTTCTCATCTGCTCTTCTTCGTACCAAGTATTGCCTACAAGAACCTTTGGCAAACTTCTTTTCACGTAGCATCACACAGTCTGCATTGAGAGCTAATGCAAGAGATTGCAGTGTTGCAACTGAAGCAGCCATCTCCTCTTCTGCTAAACCATTGTCTTGACCATCTGTTTCAAAGAGAACATTACTGATCAACATTCATAAAGCCTTGCATGACTGCAATACAATAGAGTTTGAACATAAAGCTTTACCTAGAGCAATGCCTATCTCAAAAAGTGTCTCTCCTTGACTCTCATCCATCATGCTTCTCAGTTTCTTCAGGAGGAGTTCATATTGATCCTCATCTGGACTCACAAGGGCTTGCTATGAGAGTCCATCAATTGTAATAACAGTTGTCATCATATCATAGAAATGAACACTACAGTTTCTCACAATATGGTATGATACACTCACAGGAGAACTAATAGAAGAGTAGTCCACATTATCTTCTGGTTCAATGACCTGCTCCATAGGAGATTCATTCTGGCATCCCAAGAATGTTTTGTTGGCTTGACCAGAACTTGCTTTTGGAAACCCAGAGTCAACAAGCGCTGCCATGCTTCTTTATTTATTATTCAATGACTTGGCCTAATGACTCAAATTTTACTGTCAAATGAATCACTACCAGTGAAGGCCAGCCAGAAGGTCTCAAAATTACATGACACAAAATCAGTTAGCCAGGATCTTGGCTACCAAACCAAATTAACAAACCTTTGGGCTCATTTGATGTATGCCAAGAAGCTCAAGCAGGCACCACAATTGAACACTGAGCAAACTTTTATCTCCAAGACACCAAGTTCCGCTTTTTCCTCCTCCACTCCATTGTCCTCCAACTCACAAAATTCGGGCTACCTTGCAGCTCTCCTCCATCGAAGTCTGTCAAGAAACTCAGCCCACCAAGGCCAAGCATGTCAAGAAATGAAAACGAATGCACCTGCACCGACAAAAGCACACAAAGTCAGATCTTTCATCAGTCATCTTTACGGTTTCCCTTGTTTGGTCTTGGGCAATCTTGCAACAAAAGTAAGTTCTCGCGCGCTCATTGATCCAATGTTTTGGGTGATGAAACTCATTATTTTATTGCTACAGGTGCAGCTGACGAATCTTGCCCAAGCCTGACGTTGACCGGGTCCAGGGCCTATCGTCAGATATCCTAAATAGCTCCAGGTCACTTTTACTGTAGATATTTCCATGCTTGGATTATTTAAACCAAAACTCTTGCCAGATGAGAGATAGGCCTCACTAACAACAACCCCAGTTATCACATTCCTGTTCATATCATCTGACAAAGGAAAGTCTGTAAGGGTGATTGCATAGACTTTCATCACAACCTGCCGACCATGCTGCCAGCTGTACCGCAATGACGTCGCAGTTTCAAACGTGATTGTTCGAAGAAAAACTTCAAATTCTAACTAGCTGCTTGATGCTTGCCGAATGCATTCTTTAAAGGGCTAAATCTTTCAATCAAGCCGACGAATTTATAAATTAATTTGGTTTCATCTTCCAATTTAGACCCTTTACACCAGTGATGTCGAGAAAAGAGTGTAACAGATACAGCATCCATGATCCTCACATGCCGCTGGCCCTACGTTGGAGCCGCGTGTTTTCCGCGGACGTGTAGTTTTAGTGCTCGATCTATCAGGAAGTACTCAATTTTAAGAATTTTTTAAAGTATAACTATCAAGCATGTTTTGCTTCCTCGCAGTTTTTTTTTCACTCCACCAGTGACGTCTCCCTAGTCTTATTACTTCTACTATCGATGTTCTCTATTCCCTTATAACCTTATGCGGTAACGGGTAACCTTGTGCTATAAGAATTCCAACATAAATTGGCTAAGGTCAATGATCACTGCTAACGTTTTCTTTTGTTTAAAATGAAAGGTTACTCGTTGGAGGGCCGGCCATAGCCATTTCGGCGCCTTGTGCAAAGAGACTCTCAACGCCCTTCTCTCTCGAGTGTCTGTTACCAGTCGCTGATGACTGAAATGTAGCCTCTACACTGAAAACTGCCAGGCGATCGCGCATTCCAGAAGCAAACGATAGGAAGATTAAGACTTACATAGGTTTTTACCCTTACCCCCCCCCCCCCCCCCCCCCCCCCCCCCCCCCCCCCTGGAAGGGAAAAGAGTCAACACCGAGCGTCCATTATTGCTTTATCCAACCTGGCACGTTTTAGCGCCCCTGGTGAATTTGCACCCTGTGCTGGAGCACATGTATGGGCACATGCCCAAGGCCAGCCCTGCAGATGTTTTCACTATGGTGCATACAAGAAGCCGAGGCGATACGAAAAATCACACCACTGCTGAATTTACCATGCAACCCGCTTTTATTGGGTCAAACAAGTGAAAATCACAGGGGGATGTCTGAACTGTGAAGTGGATAATGCAATATCTTTCCACCTATGATTCACAGCGAAGTCCCAAGTCTTTCATCCAGTATGAAGCTATGCATTGTCCTACTGAAGAATGACACCTTGAAGAAGTTCAAGATAATTGTGTTTTACATGTCTTTTCAGCTTTCCAAAATAAAATTATGATTGACCACCTACTGAAGGGTGAACACCAACCAATACATTGATACATCGAAGCTTGAAAGGCATTTGAAATGATAACATCCTAAACTTCAGAAAGGGGTCATTCTTCAGCAGGACAATGCACAGTGCCATACTGCACAAAAGACTTGGGACTTCATCCTAGATCAGGGGTGGGAGATACAGCAGCATCCACCTTACAGTTCAGACTTATCCCCCTGCAATTTTCATTTGATCCAATAAAAGATGTTTGTATGGTATCTAGTTCAGCAGTGAAAAAGACATTGAAACTACCATGAACAGATTGGTAGAAAGAGTTAGTGTGTGTCTTTCTTCAAAGAAGGAATACTGAAGCATGTACAGTGATGGGAAGAATGTGTGAAGGTTGGGGGAGACCAAGTGGAAATATATATGCATATATGTGTGTTATACTTTTGTTTTAGCAAATTTTTTCTAATGCCCCTCATAAGTTTCTTCTGCTCTGATACCCTTATGAAATGCTCTTTATTTTTTATTGAAATTTAGCATATAACTGAATGTGCATATCATTTGGTCAAAGCTTGGCCTCAAGGTAATAATGTAAAGATGCAGGGGAATGGAGAAAACATTGGGATGATTGAAATCCCATTGTGATTTTCATGAGACTGTTGAGTATACACTGTTTCCATATTGCATTTGTGCCCTTTCCTATGGTGAAGAACAGAGAAAACAGCATCCAAAAGATCTGCTTCATAAGATGATGTATGAAATCACCTGTGTGGAATATGTCACTACCTGCAATTGATGGTAGCACTCCCCTGGGGCATACAAATTCAATCTAAAAGATGTTGTAGATGCTGATTTATATGGACTCAAGCCCCCCCCCCCCATAATTTGAATTTTTTTTTTCTTTTGACAGGATGGTACTTCTCAGTTGCAATGTGAAGTGTGTAATGCTCTGCCAACTAATCTTTCAGCCTTTCACCTAACTTAAAGTTAAAATTTCTGTTAAACAAGATACTGCATAAGCATTAAGCCTAAGTGGTAGTTATAGTTGAAAATTTAATTAAACAAGTCTCTGATTCTCTTCAGGTTCAAAAGCACAAAGTATCAGAATGGGCAAGGGAAGAGACCAGTCTGGCAAGAGTAAACCCTACATTTTCGATCCAAAGCTCATCCCGCGTATTTGCCAATACTTAGACGCCAACAGTAACAGGCGTTATGTAGATGTTGATGATATTGTGAAGTTTCTCCAAGGTCGATTTCCTGAGTATGCCCGACGGAAAAGGTTGGTTCTTCGAAAATCAGTTGAGAAGGCATACCATGTGATACAGAATGAAGCTGGCGGTGGTGCTGCTAGTGAATCTTCCCACACTGATGATGAAGACTCCATTGATGAACCCCTCAATGAAGTCTTGGAGGAATTACAAGAAGTTAACAGCATGAACAATAGCATATCATCTTTGTATGCAAAGGGGGATAAGAATTCTTCTGAAATTCCAGAAATTTTGATTCTTGATGATGAAGGCAGCAAAAGCAAACAGAGTCAAGGCTCACTGAAGCATAAGTTGGCTATATCCTCTTCTGAGCCCTCATCAAAAAAAAGAAAGACAAAGAATGAGGTTAGACCTATGGAGTCATCAGTCACTTTTGCTGATCTTGGAGGCATTGACTCCTGTAAAGAAGAGATCTGCAAGTTGCTAGTTCATTTGCGGCATCCAGAGGTGTATCGCCATTTAGGGATCACTCCTCCCAGGGGCTTCCTCCTGCATGGACCTCCAGGGTGTGGCAAGACTCTTTTGTCTCATGCGATTGCAGGTGAGTTAAAATTGCCACTGTTGAAGATTGCTGCCACAGAAATCATATGTGGAGTGTCTGGAGATTCAGAAGAGAAGATCAGGGATCTGTTTGACCAGGCAGTTAGCTGTGCACCTTGTATTTTGTTCATTGACGAAGTGGATGCTGTGACACCCAAACGAGAAACAGCTCAGAGAGAGATGGAACGACGCATTGTATCTCAATTGCTTGCATGTCTGGATGAGCTTGGTCATAGAGAAAATGGTGATCAGGTGCTTGTGATTGGAGCCACTAATCGTCCTGATTCCCTTGATCCAGGACTCAGGAGAGCTGGACGTTTTGACAGAGAGATCAAGATGGGCATACCAGATGATAATGCAAGGGCAGAGATATTAAAAGTAATGTGTCGCTCCTTGCGCTTGTCACAGGAGTTTGATTTCCTGAAGTTGGCTAGAGCTGCTCCTGGGTATGTTGGAGCTGATCTTCAGGCCTTAACTCGTGAAGCAGCCATGCTGGCTGTCAACAGGGCTTTCACTGGACTCATCCAAGAGGCAAAATCCACCCTGGTGAAGACTGAGCAGAAAGAATCAGTGGGACAATGGTTTGTGGATCTGTCTCCTCTTACAATGGAACAACTGTCAAATCTTGAAGTGAATGTGGAAGATTTTTTACTGGCACTCAAGCTTGTTCAACCCTCTGCAAAGCGTGAAGGATTTGCCACAGTACCTGATGTGACATGGGATGACATTGGTGCACTGTCAGATATTCGAGAAGACCTCAAGATGTCCATTATGGCTCCTGTCAGGTATCCTAGCCAATTTAAGGCAATGGGACTCAATCGACCTGCAGGAATCTTATTATGTGGCCCACCTGGTTGTGGCAAAACTCTTCTAGCCAAAGCCATTGCAAATGAGGCTGGTATAAACTTCATATCTGTGAAAGGTCCAGAGCTGTTGAACATGTATGTTGGAGAAAGTGAACGTGCTGTGAGGCTTTGCTTTCAGCGTGCTCGAAATTCAACACCATGTGTGATTTTCTTTGATGAATTGGATGCACTCTGTCCTCGACGATCAGATGTGACAGATGGTGGCTCCAGCAGCAGAATTGTGAATCAGCTCCTTACTGAAATGGATGGTATGGATGATCGACAGGGTGTCTACATCATGGCTGCCACTAACCGTCCAGATATACTTGACCCTGCCATACTCAGACCAGGAAGGATGGACAAGGTCTTATTTGTTGACCTCCCTTCTGCACAAGATCGTGTGGAGATCCTGAAGACAATTACAAGAAATGGCGAGAAACCAAAGCTGGCTTCTGATGTTGATTTGTCATCATTGGGTTCAGGCCCATATTGTGAGGGTTACAGTGGTGCTGATCTTTCTGCATTAGTGAGAGAAGCATCACTCTCAGCCTTGAAGGACCAACTGTCAACATCTTCCCCTTCCATTCCAGTTGTGGCATGGTGTCATTTCATGGATGCCTTGAAACGGATTAAGGCCTCTGTGTCTGAAAAGGACAGGAAGAAGTACCACCAGCTCCGTCTCCAATTTTCAACTTCCCAACCTTCATAATGAAAAGATTTTTAAGTGTTTAATACTGGAATATGTTTAATTTTCTTTTGAAAGATTTTGCTATTCCTTGAGAGAGTATGCAATCATAGTTGTCATGTTGCATTAATTACTGATGGCAGCCCTAGTGAAATTTGGGCATCTCTGGTTCAGGAGGGTCACTGAAGATTTCCCTCTTTGTTTAGGAGTTGATGCTTGTTTGCTGCCCTAGAGTATTTTTTTTGAATAAATTGCATCCAAGCATGCTATGAATTGCTCAAATCAGTTTTAATATAAACCAACATCCACTCTCATGATCCACAAATTGAAGAAGCTTTCCTTTGTTTCAATCAGTTTCTCCCTTTTATTTTGAACTTATTTTCTGTATGTGATGGCAAGCTAGTCAATATAGTCATGGACTCACCAGGAGGGCTTTATTAATGTTCAAAACACTATTCATTGCTAGAGCTCAACGATATGTCAAATGCATGGATATGTAACAGCAACCATGTGTAATGTCAGTGTACCATTGTCAAATTTCAAACAACAATTATCCCGGAAGCTTTGTGACCAGCCAAGCACAAAGCAGGTTTGCATGTCTGTGAAAACTGTCATATTTTTATGTTAATACTTGTTGTTAGGGGTTGCAGAATTGAATACCATATGATAAAGTTTTGTAAGGTCAGCAAATCAAAAGAAAAAAATTTAACTCAATCTTATAAATATGAACTGCATTACAAATGCCTGGAAGCACATAGAGCAAAATGAGCTTTTGGCCAAAATTGCATTGGAAAATGTCATGGGGTTAAAAGGAAAAAAAAAAAAGGCAAGGTGGGAAAGTGTAATTTGTTATTGGCCAGAAATAATGTAGGACTGATATTGTATAAGATAAGAAAACCTTTTGGGAAAACATGTTTATGCTGAAAGTCTAAAATTACTTTGGGCCTAAAGATGTTGGATGCCTAAGATATAGATCTTAATAGGTTCTGTAAAGGCTGTGCAAAAAAGTAAATGTGAAGAAAAGAAATTTTGCTCTTGCACTTTTTGTAACATCATATAATGCTTAAAGTATTAAAAAATTAAAAGTTTTACTTTATTTTGTTAGTGTCAACATGGGAGTGCAACACCCTGCAATATTCCAACATTGCATAATACTAGCTGTTGAAGTAACAAGCACTTTGTTTTTTTTTTTAGTTTTCAAATATCTGATTTAAGAAATATGAAATTATACTTTTTTTCAAACCTATGAAGGCTTGAAAAAAAAGCACAATCAAATTCTATTGCTGTTCAGTAGCCCTTATTTTAGTCCTGCACTTTTTTGCTCTTTGATCTGTCCCACTTTTTTTCATCCAAAGAGTCATTTGTATGTTCAATAAATTTGCATTGATAAGGTTTTATTGGTTCTGAAGCCTTCCCATCCTACAAGAAAGCCACTCTTCCACTTTTTGTCTCACATATACCAGGTTCCTTCACCTCATTCATGCATGAATTGCTCCATAAATCATATGTACCCTGATATAAATTGATAGATTGAGAATAGTATAAAAAGGTTTTCCCAAGCAATTTTCTGATATTCTGCTTGAAGCATCCTCAAGTTTTGAAACTTTTGAGCAATGTATTTGACATTTTCAAGAGGTTCAAGTGAGTCAGCTACTAATGCAGCATGGATGCTGAGGCTCACTCATGTGATGCCCAGGACTCCCATATTCCATTTTATTTGTTGTTACAATACCAGGACATTTGCCATAGTAACCACCACTTCCTTTCTTTTTAAGTTTATCTTCTCACCTCTTCCATGAACTTGTCACTGGACTCTGGTAAGGCTCTGACGTGTCAGTCTGTTGTACTTTTTTTTATTTTCATTCCTTTAAGATTTTCCTTGAGACTCATGGCAAATAAGGATGAGACCCATGGTGACGAGAGTCAAGTTTGTAGAGTGTGTACTGACTTCAAAAATTGGCTAAAGGGAACGCGAAAAGCTGCCAAAGCTCAGGTAGGATTTGATAGAACAAGAATGATGTCATGTTGCACATCTTCCACTCTGCTGGTAGATATTTGTTCTCAAAATGTTTCATGGAAATGTTGCAACTATGCCTTTACTATGAAAGTCCTCAAAATAATCAATAGGATTGCTGTGGATGTGAAGCTGAAGCTTTCAAAATGTTGTCTTGTGATGAACTTTGCTTCTATAATATTATTCTGACTGAGTGAGGTTTGCCCTGATACCAGTATTTGGTGGAGCAGTCTGTCAGTAACAAGCTGACATGGAGTCCTTGGAACTCTTCATCTATGCCTTCCTGTTCTCTTCCATCCTGTACAGCATATGTTGGCGCCTGGCCAAGGTCTTCACCCAGGTACAGCTACAAACCTACCAATATAATCAGTGGGACCATGTCAAGGAAGACAACACATCCACCTCAAACATTTTGTGACCCTCTTCTAACCTTTAGAGACCCTGGGGAATATTTTCCCATATAATCAACTAAGATTTGCCAGAGAAGGGATTAGCCTTGATGTAAATCAAGAAAAATTTCTTGATAAAATTTTTTATGTCCCCAGTTTGCCCTGAGGGCATATCCACCTATGTGATGGTAGAAAATGCCTACTGTTGAACCATTCCTTTTTGGGAAACCCTTTGAATTCATGGTTGAACCTCTGGATATTTGATTTTGAGACGACATCGTTGCTATTGCTGATTGTCATCTTCAAAGTAGGTTCCTTCAGAGGTGATGCACATGAGCGAATTATTCTGTAGCCTTTGAAAGAATCTGTGGAAATCCTCTTTGGAACTGCAACAATGGATAGCTGTCATTGCATAGAATATTTGTGATGTTATTAAAATCCCCTTCAGATTGGTTTTCAACTATGAGAACAAAGTCACATGGCACCATAGCTGGTGAATCAGACATAGATGCAGCATAACTTGCAGCTGATGTTTGACCAGGAATGCACATGCTGACAATGTTGTGTGAACTAGTGTATTTTCATGCATCAGGAACTATTTTCTAGTGCTCTGCATCTCAGGTTGACTTTGGCAGAATTTGTTTCCTTGGCAATGCATGACATCCTGGTTGAAATTCTGATGGATGGCTTGTTTTGGTGGAACAAATTCATGATGCATTACACTTATCATTCAAAAAAAGCTATCAGTATGGTCTTCATATGGGAATTCAACTGATCACCCTCTTGAATCTGGAGGACTTGAGGCCTTTCCATTCTGCACTCAAGCACTTTGCTTTAAGATTAGAAAGTGCCTTGACACTTCACCTATAACAAGGAACTATAGAAGTAATACATCACTACTTGATGGTTCCGGCATTTCTTGGCAGATTGCAACACATTGATCTGTTTTCTCCATTGTTCTCTTGTCCAGGAACAACCATTATCCACACCTTTTCCATTTGCAATTCCTCTTGCAAGATTTTACATACTTTTCTGGACAAGGCCTTCAAAGCCTCAAGTGAATGCACCATTATTCAATGATCAGTTTACATAAAATCAATAACATCTACACATCACACTCCTACATCAATGCAACTTGTGGATGGGGAGAAGGGGGGGGCACACCTTTCACCATCTTTGATGTCTCCTCTATTGACTGGAAACTTTGCAAGCTACTATTCAGAAGTCTGGGGAAAAAGAGAAGGCATCCTGTCCACACACTTCTTGTAGCATTTGATGAATTTTCAAGGCTGTTTCCCTCAAGGCTATTTCCCATGATTTTCAGCAAAACTTGATGTTGGTGTGCTCTTCCAGTCTCGGGGAATGTGACATGTGGTTCAAACACTCTCCAGTCAATCTCACATTAGTGAAGTTAGACAAGTGAAGATGTGCTCTACACTACATAGCAGTCTTTTGCAACCACCTGTTGTTTGACAATATTTGTAAAATGATGCTTATAAAAGTTTCAGTCTTTAAACCTAATCCTTGTAAATCTTGAGAATTACCAAAAAATTAGTGAAAACACTGATGAACTCACCAGGATTACTCAACATTTTGTTTGCATTTACATTATCGTCACAAATATGAAATGGAACTTTAGAATTCATGTTCACAAATGTGAACACAGGATCCAAATGGTAAAAATAAGAGTAGCTTTCTTCTCAATAAGTCTCAATCACTCCCTCAATTCTGACTGCATGATTGACTTGTGCCAGATATACGTATTAATTCCATATATCATCTCTGACAGCTAGTGATCAACAAAATGCCTTATATGAAGAATGAAATTCCAATCTTATTGCATTTCTTGTGCAGTTAATGTTTATATAGTAAAAAGGGACTGTAGATGTGGCTATGAGCTTCTCCAGGAACTTGAGTCATTCTAAGTTTTTGTGTTTTCTTTTCCACTTCAATTTCCTTGATTAGGATGATCCCAGGAAGTCACAAGACCAAATCATTGGGGGAACTAATGTTCCACGAGGGGGTTCCACATCAGCAAGTGCACCAAATACTATGCAGAGTGCTGGAAGTCTCTTTCCTGCATCTTCACACTCTGGAGACAAAGTTCCCACTCGACCAGACTGCCCTTTAGATGTAGAAACACTGGGTCAGAGCACTTGGAATCTGTTACACACAATGGCTGCATATTATCCGAAGAACCCTACTCCCACGGAACAGAAGAGCATGCAGGATTTCATGCAACTTTTTGCCTCCTTTTATCCCTGCTCACACTGCTCTCAAGACTTTCGTGATGAGTTAGAGATGATGATTTTCCTCAATTAAGATTGGCAGAAAGTTACAAAAATGTATTACATTTGCTTTTATCTTCAGGTTGGCCAAAAACCCTCCCCAGACGGAAAACCAGAATGCTTTCAGCCGTTGGATGTGTGAGCGTCACAATAAGGTGAATGAGAAGTTGGGAAAGCCATTGTTTGACTGCTCCAAAGTCGATGAGAGATGGCGGAATGGTTGGAAAGATGGATCTTGCGACTGAATGATATCCTCTTGCTTTCAAATACTTCTGTGATGAACTTCATTCTTGATCACTGAAATAATATAGTATGATTCTTAGGAGCTTCCCTGTGCTCCCTTCTTTCAGCCAGTTCTTGAACATTCTGTGGAAATGATGAAGTGACTCAAGCAGGATAGATTATCCTGTCTGTGCTGATTGTCAGCTGCCAGAGAATTTTTCCAAATGGGGATAGGAAAATACTCTACCTGAGAAACATTGCAAAATCTCCAACAAAAAGACAACTGCAACATGATGTATCCATTTCTCTCCTAATCCTTTTTAAGATTCATGGGAAATTATTAGGTTGGCAAGCTTTTGTTATCAATCAAGCAATGACCTCTGAAGGAAACCTGCAGGGAAGTATACATCCCATTGATCGACAAACAGTCCATCGCATATGCTCTGGTCAGGTGAGAATTATTTTTTATTTCAGAATAACTTCATTCATGAAGGTGCTGTTTGAGTAATGTTTATATTTCTCTAGGTTGTGTTGAACCTTGGAGGGGCTGTGAAAGAACTGGTTGAGAATGCCTTGGATGCAGGGGCAACATCAGTAGAGGTGAAGCTGAAGGAAAATGGCCTAGAATGCATTGAGGTCTCAGACAATGGTGATGGTGTTGATGAGACCAACTTCCAAGCTCTCAGTGAGGGTCTTCTTTCTTATAATTTTATTTGGAGAGGTCATTCAATATCTGACTTGGACAACTCTGTCCAAAAATGTTTCCCTCTGCTTATCAACTGAATGTCCTTGAGGTAGCAGAGGCAAATGAAAGGCTTTCTTAAAAACAAGCAAAAAAAGGGCTTTATTTCATAGAGCCATACACTGAATGCTGGGGATGGCATTGGAGTATGGACTTGCTACATTGAGAAAGATGCGCTGTAATCAGTGCATCATTGTCATTGCTGTAATCAACACCTTGGCTTCCAGAATCAGAAGTCTGGAATGGCTCTGGTTAAATGGCCTGTAGACTGCAAGAAATGCTTTCAATTTGTTTTAACATCATAGGTAAAAAAAAATAAAAATCTTGGGTTTCATATTTTCTGATTATTTTCCCCTTCTTTCATTCCATTCTAAATCTAAAAAAATTAGGTGATGGAGAGGTAGCAGATAAGATGAACCCTTCCATCTTTCTTCAATTGCCCTATTGCAACTCCTGTGAGAGTCATGTGCTAAAACAAAGAAAACAATGAGACTTTTCCAATAATGTTGAATTTGTTATGATCACTGCAATGAAAATTTGAGCAACGAATAAGAAAAGAAGGCAAGAAGTCGGGGGGGCGCACTCAAATTTTTTTTGTTTTGGAATGGTGTATTTGTATTTTCCTGCAATTCCCCTCCTTTTGTGAAGGTGCAAAGAAACCTTAGGACTTCTATAAGGAGTTTGAATCACACCACAGTAAACTGAAACATGTTTGCCTGAAACTGTCAATATATGTTCTATGGATGACAGAGAACTTTTGTCAGTATGTGATTTTCGGGGAATATGATTTGGTTGAAAGAGGATGAAAATATATTGTTTTAGAGGTTTTTTCATGTCAAATATGGTTATAGAAAATCTATGGTTATATGATATTGACTGATTTTGATAGCTGACACTGATACTGACATGTTCATTTTTCACATTTAAAGTTGGTGTTGACAAAAGCTTCTCAACAAATTCAATTTATGAATGGTTCCATTCTGAATACTTCATGCATTTTGCACTGTGTATAAATGATTTTGTGCCATTGGATGAAATATATGTGCTTGGAAAGATTATTTTAGTGACATGTTCTGCATCTATGAGTAGACTCAAGAAGTGAAGTTTTTCTTTGTAGCCCTGAAACATCACACATCAAAGCTGAAGGACTTTGATGATTTGCTGAGTGTGTCCACATATGGATTTCGGGGTGAAGCACTGAGTTCCCTCTGTGCCCTGGCCAAGGTCACTGTCATCACTCGTCACAAGGATGCTAATGTTGGGGCCAAGCTGGAATATGACCATGGAGGGATCCTTGTTTCCAACACCCCCTGCCCCCGCCAGGCATATTCCTTACTCCTTCTTTTGTGAATGGTGTTAGGGTTATTTCAGTTTTTATATTTCTTTGTATTGGATCAAGGTGGGGACAACAGTGCTGCTGCAGAGCATCTTTGCCACCCTTCCTGTCCGCTACAAGGAATTGCAGAGAAACATTAAGAAAGAGTTTGCGAAGATGGTCCAGATTCTCACAGCATATTGCCTTATCCAGAAGAATGTGAGGTAGAACTCTGAATTTCCTCATTTTTCTGCTAAGGACAATGAAAATTATTAATTTTGAAAGGAACTTCCTGCTTTTTTTGTCTGTATCTCTTTTTTTTTTCTCTTTTTATTTATTAGGATCTCTTGCACCAATCAGTCTGGAAAGAACCGCCAGACAACACATGTCCTTGCCACACAAGGATGCCAGACTCTCAGTGAGAACATTCGTGCTGTATTTGGCTATAAGCAGGTACTATACAGGAAAGGAATTCATCCCCTCTTGTTTCTCTTAAAATTCTAGTGTAAATTGAAGGATATATTCTTGCATTGCAGATGCAAAGCCTGATCAGCTTCAAACAGGAAGTACCTTCAGAAGAGATACTGACTCAATTTGGTTTAGACTTGCCCACTTACCAGGAAACAGCTACCTATGAAATTGAGGGTTTTCTCTCCAGCTGTCAACACGGCCAAGGACGAAGCTCCACAGATCGCCAATTTTATTTTATCAATTCCCGCCCATGTGATTTTCCCAAGGTGAATCTAATTCACCTATCAATTATTTGCACCCATATCTTACTCAATTCTGTTTAAAAATTAGCATAATTCATGTAGCCTTTTAGATTAGCCAACTAGAAATTTTTGCATGCTCTTGAAATTATTACCTTTATGCATTGGGTTTTTACCCCACACCTTAGGGTTGTGGTGAACCATGCAGTCCTCTGATACAGATACCTGTGCAATGCATTGGTATTAAAAAACAATCCATGAAGAAAGGTCTCCATTGCATACAGTCTTTGAATATAATTGGAGGTGTTTAATGAAAAATTACTTTAAATTTTCTATTAAAAAAATAGTGTTTTTAGGAAAGGAAATGCATTGCTGTCAATTGCTAGATGTCCTAATAATCCATTCCTTCTAATAGCCCAATCCTTGGGTTAAGTCAAAGTTGTTGTATCAAGTGAATTGCAAAACTCATGCCTTCAAGTTGCTGAAGGGATGTGGCGTCTTTTTCTATTCAAGCTATCAAGACTGGTGAATGAAGTATACCATTCATTCAACCGAGACCAATATCCATTTGCATGCCTTGACATCCATGCCAAGTCTGATGCAATTGACATCAACGTGACACCTGATAAGCGGCAGATCCTGGTGCAAAATGAAAAGGCTCTTCTTGCCATTGTCAAGGCCTCACTCCTCAAAATGTTCGAGACCTACCCCTCTCGATTGATCTCTCTTGCATCGTCAATCACAAGTCCCTCAGTGCAAGATAAGGGAGATCAACCTCCCAAGACTCTAGCCTTCTTTAAAAATACCAATGCATCTGGACATGGGTCAAGGCCAACCACTGAGGACAAAGTAAAACGTAAGCATATGTGATCAGATTCTGAGAGGGAATTATGGATAAGTTTAATATTAAACAGTCTTTGATTAACTGGATTCATTGTTTTTTTTTTTATCAAAGAGAATCCCAAAAAAGTATAAAAACCACAATTCAATTATTTTCTACATAAGTTACTGTTTCATTTCACAGAGTTGAGACTGGACACATTTACTTCAAGGAAGCTGGAGAGTGGAATCTCAAAATCAGTGGAGTTCTGGTCCCAGTCCCAGCCCATGAGCAGTGTCCATTCCCCATCCAAGAAGAGAAAGCCTGAGTGCCTTCAAGCATCACCCATACACAAATCACTAAGGATAGAGGGAAGTACTCACAAAGCCCTAGACGCAGAACCTAGGGGAGAAGAAAACCAAGACACCATGGATTCAGGACTCAGGGAGAAAGGGAACTTTCAGGAACCCATTGATTCAGGTTTCAGCTCACAGGACTCTGCAAAGAGTGATGCAGATGGCCCTTTATTTCAGATCATATTTGAACCTCCCATCAGAACAAGGAACCAAGAAGAGAGCCAGGAAGATAGGCTTGATTCATCTCAGAGTGAAGAAGTGTCAGCATCTAAGGAGCTCAGATTACCTGAGATTGAAGCAGATGTAGTGGAAGAAGTCCTCTCAGTTTCACAGTCCATATCACAAGAGGGACACAGCTCAGAGAGATTTGAGGATGATCAACCAAGGTCACCTGAGGCCAAGTTTTCTCCAACAAGGTTACCTGAGGTCAAACAATCACCTGGAGTGAGGCATCAGGAGCCAGTTTTTGATGAATCAGCTAAGGCCAAGCGGGTTGTCAAAGAAGTCCCGTTTTGCTTCCAGTCACTCAAAGAGGCTTTGACTAAGTCATGTAAGGCTTCAAAAAATTATGGTGCTCTAATGTTAATCAGATTTTTGTCAGTACCTACAGACTGCAATGTTATAAATGTTCTTTGCTATCATGTATTTTTAAATCAGAGACAAGTATATTCTATTTCAGCTTCCAGGTGGCATGCTACAGATGTTAATTTAACTTCACTAATTTATTTCTCAAGAACCCCATAATAAAATGAAATAAAGTCAAGTTGAATCAATTTGGAGTATTGCATGCTATACCCAATATGTAGGATGCACAAAAATATTTTAATAGTCCCATCAAGAGTCCCTTCCTCATGTAGCCCTTTTGAAGTTAATGTACTATATTGTGCTCTTTTTTTCCTTTTCAATAGGTTTCCATGTCAAAGAAGGGAAGAAAGAAGTGGAAGGGAGGAAATTTCGAGCCAAGATCAGTCCATCAGACAACTCAGTTGCTGAGGATGAACTCCGTCGAGAGCTCACAAAGGATATGTTCCCACAGGTAATTCATCTTCCCTCAATTTTCTGTATTTTACATTTTCTTTCCATGTCTTTTGCCCAAAAATTCATAGATGGAGATCCTGGGTCAGTTCAACCTGGGCTTCATAATAACCCGACTTGGCCCTGACCTCTTCATTGTGGACCAGCATGCCTCTGATGAGAAATACAATTTTGAGAATCTCCAAAGGAACACTGTGATCCAGTCTCAGAAACTTATTGTGTAAGTTTTGTCTCCAAAATCTCTTGTGAGTATGAATCTTCAAATGCAACAGGATGTGGGTTTCCAGGCCAATGAACCTGGACCTTACTGCAGTGGCAGAGGCAACCCTAATTGACAATCTCCCCATCTTTGAACGCAATGGCTTTAGCTTCCTAATTGATGCCAGTGGTAAGAACATTTTTTGCTCTGCGTTGCTCACAAATATCCTGAAAACTATCTAAAGCCATCTATTGTGGTGTAGCATCTCCAGGGAGCCGTGTCCGTCTGGCATCAATTCCTGAGAGTCACAATTGGAGCTTTGGGAAGCAAGATGTGGAGGAACTGTTATTCATGCTAAGTGAAGATGACATTTCTGAGTCGAATGTAGCTCGGCTCAGGCCTTCAAGGGTTAGAGCAATGTTTGCCTCAAGGGCATGTCGAAGCTCCGTCATGATTGGGACTGCCCTGAGCAAGCTGGAGATGAGGCGACTAGTTGATCACATGGCTCTCATGGACCAGCCTTGGGTGAACAGCTGCAATCTTTATGCTTCTAGTCTTTTAAGAGTCTGGCGATCACAATAATTTTTGTATTTTCTCTTAAAATGTATGTTCAGTACTCTGGAAAAAAAATTTAATTTTATCCTAGGTATAATCTTTTTTCACCTTGATAATTAACTCTATTTTCTGGTCTAAATATTAGGTGTTTTGTTACCTTTTACAGTTTTTGTTCTAGTGCATGGAACCTGTTCAAAACTGTTTTATCATATGCTTTTGCATCTAATCTTGCATACTTTCTCTTTATGGTTGTCATATGGAGTTTCTTGATTGCTTCACACATCAAATATACTGGGAGAAATCCTCCATGAACTCCTAGTAGGCAAACCTGATCCTCTCAATTCATAGATGGGATAACTTTCCTTAGCCTGCCTCCTCCAATGATGCCTCCAGGAGGAGATTTAAATGTTCATCTGCCATTGAAAGGGTTAATATCCCCAGATTCATGTATTACATTAAGCCAGGAATGCTGCACCCCATCCTCTTGTCTTCCACCAATGCCTTGTGTCATCACATTTATTGTAAATTATATGACTTATCGCATTCAGTCCCCTTAGCTTCTACATTAATATACAGAAGAATATGTACTCAAATTTTTCCTTAGATTCTCTTAGCAACAGCTGCAACTTATCTGCTGATTTTAGCTAAACTGTGCATGATTGAGTGAGCATAAAAATGCTTTGTAGGAGAAGCTTTTTGTATCTGATGTCATTTTTAATATCTGCTATAGCTAAAATATTGCAGATTTTAATTCTTGGCATCCACTAGAGTATTCTCCACTGTTATCATTCATAAAAACTTTAATAAGTAGTTAAAACTTTAGAAAGTTAACTCTTCAATTACACTTGACTGTTTATATATGAAGTCTTGAGTTTCTTAAACTCAATAGGTTGATATTTTAATGTTCATTTAATTATATTTGAATCTTTGATTTTGCATGAAACTATTGTTGATATTTTTTTTTATAGGACTTCTTTGGCTGTTTTATTTTATTTATTATTATTTTTTTTTTACCAAATCTTCTGTCATCTTGTTACAGAATTGCCCTCATGGACGTCCAACCATTCGACATTTGGTGAACCTAGACCTCCTCCGCCTCAATCCTCTTGAGGCTACCGTTTCCAAGTGGGATGCACACCTCTGATTCCAGTGCAGTTCATGTTCGTCAGAAGAAGAAGAAGAAAGTAAACCTTTTTTTTTTCACCATGGAATACTTATTTATTGTACATACATCCTCTCATGAAACATTCTGGTCTTACAGAAAAACGCAATCAAAGCTGCGATACACTCACTCCAGGGTCTCCTGAAGTTTCACAAAAAATATAGTCAACAAAAAAATAAAATAGTCGATCTGCGCGAGATCCACACAAAGAACCTCCTGGGCTCAGTCCCTTCATCACATAATCAGTCCAACTTTCCCTGAGGTGTTGGGGCTTTTTCTTTGTCTCTTGAATATGTCTTTCTTACTTCTTGCCACCATATGGTCCCTGGGTGATGGATTGGATCCAAGGGAGGTATTGTGACACCTTAACGTACACCCCTGGTACCCCAGGTGTACCACAGCCGATGCCCCAACTGACCACTCCTGTCAGTTGATAGATCCCATTTCCAGCTTCACACACTAGCGGTCCTCCTCCGTCTCCCTATCGTGAAAACAGACCGAGTTGCGTTGTTAATTACAGTGATCCATTACCATGCTCATCTATCCATGATAATTGGTAAAAGAAACGTGGCAACTTATTTGGGTTCTACCCGAACGAAAAGGATTCCATGACACAAGAAGCGCAACTGTTTCACTTCCTTAGAATTTCATTTGGTGAGAAGAGAAAGTTGAAGGTAGAAAATACGCATTAGAAAAAGGGGGAGGGACGGGAAGCAAGGAAGAAGATTGACCTTGCAGGCATCCTTGCCCTGCTCCCCTCCGGCGCAGAGGAATCCTGGGTGAAGTTGGAAGTCGTAGCCCAGCCGGGTGTTCCGTAGAGCTCGTTCGCACTCGTGATGGGGAATCAGCGGAACGTCCACCTCCTATACACGCATGGAAGACAGTATGCGTTGAGAGGAGATAGGAAGGCATACACCCCATCGTATGTTGAATCCGTGTACCTTGAGGATATTCTGATAGGATCCCCCGGTGCCCCAAGCGTCCTTCCCCCAGCCAGTGGCCCAGCATCTCTGCCCATATTGGTCTGGCCCGAACGGAAGGCACACCGGACTGATGTGAGGGCTATAGATGGACGGGAAGGAAGCAAGCATAAGCGACCATGATAAGACGAATGAGAAAGTGCTGAGTCGTTTATCGGAAGTTCACTAAGTCATCAGTTCTAATTATTAGTTTATTTCCACATAACCATTAGTCATAGCAATTCCTGCCTTAAGCTTGTTATATAGTAGCTGCTCTTCAAGCAATTGAGATGCACTTACGAAGCTCTCCTGCCTGCAAGTAAGCCTGTAAGTGAAAGTGCGTGTTGCACGTTTTGGGATGGATTTTCCAAAAAGCTTGGGAACTATGAAAATTGAGTGGTGAAAACTGGCTTAGTGAGAAGTGATAGGGGTAGTAAGCATTTTGTTTGAATGTGTTGGTCACACCAAAAACATTGATGAGATTTTTTAAATAATAAGGTTGCCGTTTCCTAAAATTCTCTGAAACTACGGGAGGTTGTGTAATAGAATTTGGCACTGACGTATCTCTTAAGATCGAATCTGCACAATTGAAAATTTCCATGATGTTAAACTTTGAAGCCCCAGCGATTGCTAAAAGCGAAGAAGAAATATGCCAGAATGACAGAGTGATGCCCTCCCTCGCCACGCCGTATTCTCGCTCCTTCTCTCTTCAAAAACTCAACGCGGGAAGAAGCCGATGGAGGACGTAGCACAGAAATCTGTTTTGAGCATCTGACAGCACTGTCGACGTTCTTTGGCAAAATTACTTCCTTCAACCCGAAAATGTCAGGCTTTTATAGATTTGATCAACCTCGATGCTGCGAATTTTTATGCTGGATTTATTTTTTAAGCCGAGACGACGCGATGTAACGTTTGCGTGAATTTAAGAGAGCGATGGTCGACTGTAAGCGAGGTTTCTTCGTTCCGCTATATGTCTCTTTTGCGGACTCTTCGATATCGCTTTCGTCGGCAACATTGAGGGTCTTAAATAGAAGCGCTCACGTAATGAAGGAAGGATCGGCCCTTCCTCATCGCCGCCCACAAGGAGAGTTGGGTCGTTCCCCAACCCCCCCCCCCCCCACGCCCCGCCCCCCCCCCCCCCCCCCCCCCAATTTTCGTATTTGAACGCTCGGATGAGGGAACGGAGACCCCCTCGCTCTTTAAGGAAACAATAGAAACAGAGGGCAACGGTTCCGTCTCCATCTTTTCCCAAAAAGAGCAAGAAGCGTACGCGAGTGAAAGAGGGTCAAGTCGAGATGGCGAAATTCCCTTAAAAGTTTTCGCCTCATTTTCGTTTCATTCGTTTTCCTTTTTTCTTTCGTTCCACTCGATAGCGGCTCCGAAAATTTTTTTTTTTCATTTCGTCTCCGATCGTTCCCATCCTCACGCTAAAAAATTCGTTTCTGGATCTCACGATCCAATGGGCCGTTTTCCTCACCCGACCTTTCGACCTCTCGATCGAGACGGAAGATTTAATTTACCCTAGATCTGCGAGAAATACGTTCACGACGACCGAACCAGAATCGGAAGGACCTGCGGGATTCTTAAAAGGCTCGTCCGGGACTCATCCAGGACTCATCCAGCGCTCATTCCCCGAATCCAAAACGACGTACTTGTATCGAAAGTCGACGGGGGAATCCATCCGAATGATGGCCAAATCGTTGTACAGGCTCCCGGCGTAGAACTCGGGATGGACCTGAAGCCCGTGCACGTCCTTCTCGATGTGCGTGTAGAATTCCGTGTCGTGGTTCACGTCCCATTCTCCCAGCCGGACTCTCAGATCGTACGGCTGATACCTGAAGCGAGAGGGAATGGCAATCGTTCCAGATCTCAAATCTTATCCGGTGCATCGTTAGAAAGCAGGATTCGAGCGAACATCTGAAGCATGCGGAAAATCTTTCTACTTTCTTAATTCCCCACCGAGCCACTGAGTTTCTGCAAAATTTCGTAACCTCGATTTAAAAATAATAAAAAATTTGGCTAGAACATGATCGAATGCATCTCGTAAATCATTAGTCAACTGACGAATAGTTACAATGTTTCCGCGTGCGTTTTGGCCCGGTGGATAAGCGAATTTGGCTCGGGCCCACGTTTCCTGTTCCAACCGGTCGCTTTGACAGTCACGTGAGGTCGGTCACGCGACCTGCGACCCGTGCTTACCCCTTGATGCAGTGGGCGGCAGTCAAGACGTGGATGGAGTCGATGAGAGTTCCTCCGCAAACGTACACGTTATCGTGTCCCTCCTTCTTCAGGATTGCCGCCTGCCAAGGATACTCCCCTGCGATGGCGAGTGCAAAGATCGTCAAAATTCCCGACGCCCGAGTCGGATTTCACGCCGCAGAACCATCGTTTCTCTCACCGAATTCGGCGTCTCCCTCGGCGTAGTGAATGTTCCTCACCCGACCCGTCACTCCTCGGGCATTCCTGAAGCCGCATTGCCCCGGCGACGCCGCACCGCCGATCGGCCCCTGAGGAATGGCCCCACCGATCGGTCCCTGAGGAACGGAGGATCCACCGCCGAGGTACCCCGAGGGACAGCAGACGTCGTAAGCCTGACACCCGGTCGGACCCGGAAGATACGCCGCTCCTCCGAATTGACGCTGAAAGATACGTGCATCCAGGAGTCACTCCTTCCGGACCTTTGCCGAACGACGCACTCGTTGGAAAAAAGAAACCGGTACATCGTCAGAGTCCACGAAAGATTTTAACACGGCCGTCTGTGGGAAAGGAAGTCGAATTCTCGAGACAATCGTTTGCCGATGACGACTCCTCGTTTCCCACAGATCACAAATATCTGGAACGGATTCGATAATGTAGCCGGATTTTTTCCCCCAAGCAGCGTGTGCGCATGCGCAAGTAACAAACACTCCACCGCGTGGTGCAAATAAGCATGCAAGCACAGGATCGAGAGACGGACAGAGAAAGAAAACAGTCCAGAGAGATCGATGCGTCCGGCTGTTTCTTCAGCGGTCGCACGTCACCGTCTTCCCGTTATCGTTATCGTTGTTGTTGTTGACGTGTTCGTGTTGCGTCGGAATTCGTCGTCGAAGGTCCTCGTTTCGTATCGGGCGTCTGCTCACCTGTTCGCTCGAACCGCCTTGTAATCGTGCCAGAGCGGAGATCCCGCCGCACTCGTAATAGAGTCGACTGCAGTCCACGTTTTCGCACGGGGATGGGTGGTGATGCTGTCGGATCGGCACGATGTGACCCCGAATGACGCCAACGAACGTGGCTGCGGGAATCCCAGCTGCCGTTTCTCCTGGCTCGACGGGTTCGTTCACGATTTGGATCGGGTGGGATGGATCGGTGGGGTGGATCTGGACGTTACTGAGATGCAGGCTGTTGGAAGGTTGGGGAATGCTAGGGTACGACGAGAGCTGTTCTATCGAGTGAGTACCAGGAGAGTAGTACCGACGAGACTCCCGACTAGAAGGGCTACTGACGGACTGGTAGTACTCGTCGAAGGGAGGGAAATCCATAACCCGGGACGAAGAGGAGATGCGTCGTTGGGGTGCGTCCAGTGCGTGACGTGCACGTCGACGTCGTCTTCGTCCCCCTCGTCGTCCGGAAACGGACGGAAACCTCACGAATCCGGTCGCCGTCGTTCGTTCGCCTCTGTGGACGTTCGTTCTGGGATCGGTGGGGAAAGTTCTCTGAGTCCGATAGTAACCGCCGATAGGGGACGAAGTGCTGCGTCGGGCCTGGGTGCTGGACTCTGCTGAAATCGATGCGTTACTCGTCCTTAGAAATGGGTCGTAAGGTCCAACATGGGAATCATAGTCGGGTGTGATGGGAGAAAGAGGTTCTTCGTGGATGGGGCCGTAAGGATCTCCACCGTAAGGATTTCCACCGTAAGGATTTCCACCGTAAGGAAATGGAGGTGGCGGAGGAGGAGGTGGAGGTGGGGGTGGGGGTAGGGGTGGGGGTGGATTACCCTGTAAGATCTGCTGGTGATTCAAGTAATGGAGGACAGCTGGGTTGATGGGACCAGGAGGAGGACCAGGAACAGGAGGTGTGAGATGTCCCTCGTAACCGATGTGGTTGTAGGTACTGGCGTAGCTGGGTGCATAGGGGCGAGGTCCCAGCGCATAAGGTGGGATGATCCCGTCGGGGATCAAATTCAGATTGAAATTTGGCAGGAGTTTCCCCTTCCCTTTTTTCCCGACTTCGACGCCGATTCCCACCTGAGGCAGAAGGCTGACTCCGGTATACTTGTCCAAACGGACGTAGTGAGGCGGTGTGAAAAAATTCACTCCGAACTCGGGCCTGAAATCTAGTTTCTTGTCCTTTTTCTTATCGTCCTGCGGCTTGGATTGAGTGGGGGAATACGACGGCTGCTGATGCTTTTTCTTGAACAGATCGTACAGTTTTTTACCACCGCTTGCCAGCCCTCCCAAAAGACCTGCACCAGCTCCCGGATACCCAGGGTATCCTGGATACCCTCCAGGGTACCCTCCAGGATACCCTCCAGGATACCCTCCACCGCCCCCAAATGCGGCAGGATTTACCCCCTGATTGAAAGAATCTCCCTGATTGGTTTGAGTGAGAAAAGGGTAAGATCCCTGAGTCAAACCACTCCCTAGGGGTTTGAAAAGCCCCGAGAACTTGTTCGGGTTGAAGAGATTTGCCGGATTAAGAAGACCGAAGAGACCTGGCCCGCCCCCATAGCCACCTTGCCCATACCCGTAACCGGGATTCCCTACAACCGGAGAGACACCGGGAGATCCAGACACGATGGGAGAAGTGACTGGAAAGCCTCCAGTGATCGGAGAAGTTCCAGGCCCACCTGCAACGACGGGTGCCTGACCCGGGTTGACAGAAGGATTCGTGATAACGACTGCATCCTGATAATTCTGAGGACTTCGTTTACGACGAAGCTTCGAATCACGAAATACGATACCATTTACGGATCCGGAGAAGCTGTACGGCGACTTAGAACCGTATAGAGGATTCGGGGTTTGATGGACGGAGCTCGATTGGTAAGTCGAGCTTTGGGGATTGAGGATCGAGGTCTGGGGGTAGGGGTTCGAGGTTTGGGGATTGAGGATCGAGGTCTGGGGGTAGAGGTTCGAGGTTTGGGGATTGAGGATCGAGGTCTGGGGGTAGAGGTTCGAGGTCTGGGGGTAGGGGTTCGAGGTTTGGGGATAGGGGTGCGAGGTCTGGGGATTGAGGATCGAGGTTTGGGGGTAGAGGTTCGAGGTCTGGGGGTAGGGGTTCGAGGTCTGATGGATCGTGGTCTGAAAACTGGTCCCGGAAGGGTAAGGTGATGGAGATTGGTATTGACCCTGTTGAGGAAACGAAGGTCCAGGCTGATGGGCAGGGTAAGGTGGAGGAGCCCCAGTGCTCTGATAAAGAGGGACAGGATTATGAACTTGGGTCTGATAGGTGTGAGCGTTAGCGTAGCTGGGATACTTGGAAAAGGAATCGTCGAATGTGGTGTAAGTTGATTCGTCGGATGCGTCGTGGAGGTAGTGTGAAGGAGTCAACGACGTGTCGTAATAGTTGCTCGTGTCCAACGAGAGCGTGTCTTCGTGAGACACTTCTTTGTACAGGGCCTCGGCAGAGTCAGCGTACCCAGAGGAAGAAAAGAGGTCATCGGTGTATGGGTGATGCCCAGAGCTACCCTGGTAGTGATCGACGTGTACTGGCTGGGGTACTGGCTGAGGTACGGGGTAATAATACGGGTAGTAGCGAGGAACGTAGTAGGGGTAATAGCGATAGATGTGGTCGTGTTGGTGATGGTGCTGGTTACCGTAGTGACCGTGCGGGGGAACGGGAGGGGCATAAGGTGCAATACCGGGGTAAGCGGGGCCGGGTTTAACCGGTTGGTGGCCGACGGTGCGACCCCCACCCGGGAGGTAGTGGGGCAGGACATTCAGGTTAAATTTGGGTTTGATCACAGGCTTTCCATCCTCCACCTCGACCCCGATCCCGATCTGGGGTAGGAGGGAGAGGGGGTATTCCCCGTCAAAGTTCCAGTTGTAGGGACGAGTGAAGAGGCTCACGCCGAATTGCGGCTTTATGTCCTTGTCGTCCGATCGGGCTTGCTGTATATACAACAGAACAATACGGCCATATCAGCTCTGCGGTCGGCAGCAACGAGTGACCGTTATCATTTCTACTGCTGGGTATTTTTGCGTGAACATGGGTTTCATTTTTTACCAGTCACTTACTGCAGTGTCCAAGGACCTTTGTGCAGATCGTTTCTGCCTCTGGAAACACGAGGAGAAAAGAAGAGGACAGCATGAAATCGAAGGATGGGACTGGATCACATGATGCTGCATGCAAGCGAGAGGCATCACAAGAAAAAAAACTCGGCCGTGAATGCGGAAGGAAGGGACTTACCGGTTGGACTTGATCGTCGGATTCATCGGTGTCGCGTTTGCGTCTCGTCACGGACGAGTTGGACGGTCTCACGTCGTTCTCGGAGGCATCGATCTTCTTCGCCGTTCTACCTTGGGACGTGGTGTATTCTCCGTCTGCGGCAGCCACAACTTCCGCGGCTTCTTGATTGGCCCTGGGATCCAGGTTCGTGTAGGGGGCCTGTCCAGTTTCCCGCTGGGCGGCGTTCAGCGCCGGACAGAGGTGAGCCGAGACGCAAAGACAGTCTCCGGTTTTACCCAAAGCTTGGTTGTAGGTGGACTGCGACTGGTAATACTGTTGTTGAGTGTTTCTGATGGGCCGAACACCTTGGCCATTCGCTAGCGATTGGGAACCGTACACCGGAGTACCCTGATAACTGCCAGAGGTCTGTAGCCCTTGGGTATACAGAGCACTGGAAACCTGTCCCTGGTAGCTTTGAGGGCGTTGGCTATACAGAGGAGTGGACTGACTTCCGGAGTACTGGGATCTCACCGGTGTCACCGACAGAGACACCGGTCGGGAAGGTGAATTCACGTTGGCCGTCAAGTACGTGGTAGGAACAGGTCGGCTAGACGCATAATTGGGTATCCTGAAATTCTCTTGACTGTTAGAGGTTCCCAGTTTCTTGTCGGCTCGGGGACTGTTGTACGAGTTACTATACGGTCCCGCACCGGACGAGCCACCGTACGAAGGTCCTATGCTGTGGCCACCGAATGAAGGTCCTACGCCTTGGCCACCGAATGAAGGTCCTACGCCGTGGCCACCGTATGCTGGTCCTCCGCTGGAAGAGTAGGTAGGATAGGGAACGGGTATCGGTCGGGGCACTGGAATCGGTTGCGGCACTGGAATCGGTTGAGGCACCGGTATCGGACGCGGTATCGGTGGAGGTTGTGGGAGGTGGTGGATGTGGTTGTGGTGGTGGTTGTGATTCTCGTTTAATCCATAGCTGTGAGAGGGTGCATATCCCAGGCCTCCGCTGCTGCTACTGCTACTGAGACCGGCCGCATAGCCACCGATGCCACCACTCGAACTACTGGAGGAACCACCCCCACCGAACAGACCCTTCTTATATTTCTTGTACTTGGGTTTCTTCTTGATGATGGCGGGTATGTGGCCTCCAGCTGCGACTATCTTGACCGGCTGGACGTAGACGACGTCGTGCGGGCTGATTCCGCCTCCCTTTTTGCACTGAAATCCAGGGAGATGATCACGTGCATTCAACAACGCGGGATTCATCCCCAGAAACGTCAATTTCCTTTTTTACTTGATTAAAAATATTTTTGGCTCATTGCTTAAAAAAAAAAGCTATACGTATTCGAATGATTTCAATCGATTTCTTAGAGTGAAGGGACTTTGCTCAACGTGTTTTGACTCGGAATCCCCCTACAGGTAAAGAAAAAGATTTAAGGAAACAGTACTCACGCCGATGCCAAACTTGCAAAGCGCGTCTTTGAATCCCCTAGATTCCGTGTTCTTCGTGGGAATGACATCATGTTCCAAAGGGACTTCCTGCCACCCTTCACCAGACCCATACTGAACGGGCCCGTAGTGACCACGCGAGTACTCCGCATGCCTCTTGGTATCGACGGCGGAAGATTCACTTTCGGGAGGGAAAGAGAGTTTCTTGGATACCCGACTGGAATCCGGTCCCGGAGAATGAGGTTTCTCTTCTCCCTGGTTCTTCGAATCCCATTTCCAGTCCTCGGTTTTCTCGTCTCCCAGGACGCCTCCAAACGCCACGAGGATCACCACCAGCAAAGTGTTCCTCATTCTGTATGAATTTGGGGTTCTGCAAAAACGATTAAGTTGGAAATAGCTTTAGATTTGCGGAACGACTCGAGAGTTCAAAGTGAAATGCGAAAGTAAAAATTAAAATAATTTGGGAAAAAATAGGACAACGAAGATGGATGGTTTATTTGTAATGGCCAGTGAAGGTAAAGGGTAAGGCGTGGATGCGTAGGAGTATTCGGTATGTGTAGTGCGAGGGTGATCTTTCTGAAATGAGGTCAAGTTGTTTTTTTTTTATATTAGGCAGTCGTAAAAAAAAAAACTTCATCTTCGTAAGTCCTCGTCCACGTAGCGAAGTTTCGGGATCTGGACTCACTGACCGTCATGTGTCTCATACCACGTGACGTCCTTCCGTACATTTCCGGTCTCGAAGGGTGAGAAGGAAGTGGTCGGGGAGGAAGCCACTTTCACTGCCGGTTTATACATTACGGTCATGTCGAGGTGGAACATGTACCCGCCCGGACAAGGACCCGTCAAATCTCTATTTGTCTTTTCCTCCTGCGCCAAATTATCGACCGACAATGAGATATACATATACTGTACTGTATATATATATATATATATATATATATATATATTTTACTCGAAGGCACAAATGAGTTCCAGTTCCAGTCGAACTGTTTTTCCAAGTATGAGGGGAGGAGAAGAAGGTCGATCTTTTGTTCCCCCCAATCGGTCGTGTCTCTTTCTTTCTTCCTTTCTTTGAAAGGGAGGGACTTTCACTTCCCCCACCCGTCTTTCACGCCGGAACGGAAATGTGTATAACGCAGCGATCCGTCGACGGAACGGGGAGTCTTCCCCCGTAATAGTTCAAAAACGACTGGAACGATGATCGCTTATGTAAAAGCATAAATTAACGTTTTCCCTAAATATCGTTGAATATGAAAATTAAAATTAAAATTTGAGGTTCAGTAAATCTGAAATACTGGGTGACATGCACCGGACCCGTTTAAGCTAAACTAATCTGATTTCACAACGGTCCCCTGTGGGAATCAGTTTAACAGAGATAAACTTATTCCCATAGGGCAGCGGTTCCCAGACTTCTTTGAATCGCGACCCACTTGCTGACGTACAGAAAATTTCGCGACCCACCGGAATCCAGAATGAGGTATTTTCAAAGTAGTTATGACGTGAAGAAAACAGATCGACCTTTTCTGCAGGGAATGTTTCATCCTAAGCAAATGCGGATACGGTGATTTTTTATGCTGGGAAAATGTACGCGACCCACCTTGATGACTCTCGCGACCCACAGTTCGGGAACCGCTACCATAGGGGACCATTGTGAGATCAGATTAGTTTAGCTTAAACGGATTCCGTGCATGTCACCCTATATTTCACTCGAAGGTTTAGGACGAGCCGCCGGAAAGCATGTCGATCAGAAACATGGACGGACCGAAATAATATACAAGGCGCCATCATAAAATCATTCAAGCAAACCATCTTACTACCCCATTTCAGATATTACGTCTGAAAATGTCGCTGAAAGGGCGAATCAGAACGGTTCGGCGGATGCTAGTTTTCCAACGTCCAACATTAAGGCATTTCAAAAAGGAGCCTCCAAATTTCACGCTTTGAAGTAGGGTCTGTTGCCGACCACTCATTTTTTAAGTTTCATCGTTTAATTTTTTGTGCACCCTGTACGGCATTTTTTAACATTTGAGTTATGTTTAAATAAATATATATGTAAATGTCATACCTGCATCACCTGCCAAGTTCTGTTCATGTTCCTCAAATATTTCAAAGAAGGGCTTTTTCTTTTTAACTATATAGTGACTTCATGGAATCTCTGAACAGCACAGAGGGAGGTAGAAGAAAAACGAGTGGCGTGCGTTCACCTCTGTACGTGATCTGACTGGTACCAAACTATCCCTCGAGTCATCTTGTTAGTAAAGAAAAGTGACTTATTTGGTGAAAATGCAAACCTGATGATGAGAACCATACAACCTTATGATGAAAATCTGGAAGTAGCAATGTGCGATTGCTGTGGCGGTGGTGCACCGGTATTGATAAGGTGATAATGATCTTTTTCTGTGAAAAAGTTTCTGCGGAGGAGAAAGACGAATGAACGGTCCCAGCACCTCCCGTCTCCTCCGCCTTGGCCATCGCATCACAGTCCCACCGCGTTTTATTTACATTACCAAGTCTTACTCGATTTTGCTCTCTTATTGTTTTGCAAGTCTCAATCTCTCGCTCGTTCATACCTGCACGTATCCACTCGAGTTAACCACTTCATCGTCTGATCATACATCCTCGATCGTACATTCAGAAACGAAGAAAGGGTAAAAACCTATGTAAGTCTTAATCTTCCTATCGTTTGCTTCTGGAATGCGCGATCGCCTGGCAGTTTTCAGTGTAGAGGCTACATTTCAGTCATCAGCGACTGGTAACAGACACTCGAGAGATAAAAGGCCTCTTTGCAAGAAAAGAATAGCTGTAAATGGAGCATCGGAGCAATGCTCCCGTGAAGACTTAGCTACTAATTTAGGAAGGATTGACCAACCGACTTGAGTCTCCAGAGGAAGGACAGGTCCGTGACGGATTTCGTTCGTCACGCAATCAGTGCTCGCTCGAAAAGCTGTTTCGAGGGGCAGGGGCCATGTCGGATCGACACTTGCACCGAGACTGAACCGAAAGAACGGTCGGAACCGAACGGAAGGTGTCGGGACGACGTCCAGCTTTTTTAGAAAGTGGTTTTCTTGGTGGACGTCGAGAACGGGGGAATACGCCTCCGATGGCCGGAGTGAAAGACCCCCTTTTTAATCATTCCTCCTCCTCTCTTAACCCCTTTACATCCTTTACATATTCGATGGAGTCCACGCTACTCCGATATCAAGATGTCGGTCTCCACGGTTGTTTTAAGTTACGAATTTATATCTGGAGGCTTCATTAGGAACAAATTTTACAAATATCGATTGCTGACCATAATGTATTTTATGGATACGCACGGCCACTACCTGCATCAAACAATGAGGCATTTTCTACATGCAATAGCAAAAAAAAATTATTTGGTAGATCATGGGCTTATGGGAACCTATTTAAATCATATTTTATTATTTAAGCATTTCGTTCGCTTTTTTAAAGCTCGTTTTCCCCCTAAAAACTTGCATAGATAAATTTCATCCAATGCAAACTCCAACTCATCGTGGAATCTTATACATTTCTATAATAAAACATTTAAAATCGGTTCAGCAAAATGAGATTGTACGGACGAACGGCTTCACTTTCTAATCGCAGACGCCTTCCCTCGAAGGAGTGGGTGCAGAAGATGGAGGAGGACGACAAGGAAGAGGAAAGTGGCGTATGTACCTTCTCTCCCTATATGGAATCTCCGTATTCCAAGCCGTATCAATCCCCCTTCGGAATGTAGGTCACTCGCGAGACCTTTTCTTCGCTACCCCCGTTCCGCTGCCCCGACGATTTTTATTTAGACGCGTCGGATGTCCCCGTGATTTACAATATGCGCGTTCGCGCGCGGAAGAGAAAGCGGTTCGATGCCGTTGCAAAAAAATCCGACTTCCGGAGCCACCCTTTTTTCTCGGAACAATGAAATCACCGAAGAAGAAAGTCTCCATCCTCGTCCCGTGCCATTGCATAATGTATAATCGTCTCCACTTTCTTTTGTACATCCGGAATCATGCGCAGCGTGAAGATACGTTCCTACCAGGTTTAGAACGGCGCCATTTATTTATGCTTTGACGATCTCCGCTTAGGCAAATTTTTTGCCGCTTCATCTATCATGCATTTTCGTGACTATTTTATTGTAGTATTAGGATATCAATTTCCATAATAAAAAATCTTTCCCAAGGACGAACAAAACTCTCAGATTACATTCTTCAAATTGTCCCTTGAGATCAAATTTTGAGGGATTTTATCAAATAAAATGCGATCATTTTTCTTTATCCCTGAAGCGTATTTCACAAATTTAAATTCCAGCTTGAAACATTCGAAACCGTGAAAAAACGACGAAAATACCTGGATCGCCCATCCCGTCGTGTCTCCGACCGAATCGACGGTTTCCTTCGCGGCATCGAGATCGCCGAGAACGACTGGAAGGGTCAGAGGTCTCGAGAGTGAAAGGGAATCGAATGAGATCCACGATCGCAGACCATCTTTCTTGCCCCCGATCTCGTCCGACGACCGAGAGGCCGGATTTGTGCGGTCGGAAATGCGGCGGATCGTCTCACGGCGTGACGGAAAATCTCACGCGATTGTTACGCGAATAACGGAAAATTAGCGGAACGCAATTTATAGAACTCGCCCATCTTCTGTCGCTTCCTATTATTTCTTGACTTGCCGAAACGACGCAAGCTAAACGACCGTAGAAACGCCGATCGATTCGACGACGTGGGCGATGGTCTCTCCGGTGGCGATTCGCGGGGACAAACGAGTCTTTCGCTGCGGCTAGCTCTGTCTTTGTCGGATTCTTTCCGAGTTAACATCCCGCAATTTTCCCGTGGATTCGAGATTGTTAGGAGCGGCAGTGTTGGAAATATAACGGAATGTTAGAGATAGAAACGAAATAACTCGTAAGTCGTTCTAAAAAATGTACGAGTTCCGACGATCCCAGCTAAAGGCACCACGGGATTCAAACACTCGGCACGCCTCAGAAAAATTTTGTCGAAATATCAAAGTTCGCGTGCAGCAAGCATTCGATCGCAAATTCGAGAAAACTTTTCGACTCACTCCAGGAATCCAAGTATCGGCAGAGCGGCGCAGGTTGTCGTGTCTTCTCGACACTCACGCACACCATACACTCGAGTTCTGCCGAAACAAGTTGGAAAGAGAAAGAGAAGGGAGGGCCAGTGTTTTCACTTTCGGATTCGAACACGGACTGTAGCGCTGGCCTACATTCACCCCCTTGTTTATATACGGCGGACCGCCCTCCGCCCCCCCCCCCCCCCCCCCCCCCCCC